CTTGGTTTATTTGCGAGGGATTGTTTCCATGATCCATGAATGGAAACAACCATCCTATACAGTATTGACAGAAGAATACAACCAATCGTTCTTCTCTAGCAAGCTTCAATAGGCATCTGCATCACAAACATCCTCGTCACCTGCCAACGGCGTTATACCTAGCAAAGGGCATCACACATACAGAACGTCGGTCAACGTGGGCATACTGTGAAACCCCGGTCCTCGCTCACGGCAGCAAAGACACCCAACAACTTAGTCAATACCCTAGTATGATATAATACCCCAGAATATAATAATTACTACGGAGTACCCCAGAACACAATCAATCGGCGCTTTGACGCCGCTGCAGCAACAGCGCGGTAGTGGTGGTGGCAGCACGCAGCCTGATTGGCGCCGGCCGTGCGGTTTAAGCGCCAGACGAACGAGTCACGCACTGAATCATGCATGAGACAAGCGCAAGCGTCGCTGTGGTTTCGGTGGTGTTGGCTTGGCAATGTCACCCTGGTGGATGAGTCTCTATACTAATAAGGTACGTGTAGATGGTGTAAACTCGTATTGAGTCAAGTAGAGAGAGAGACCTTTATATCTGAGTAACGGACTACTCTGGGTAGGCAGGCGTGATAGGTATACCTATGTGATTGACGACACTGCCTAGGTAATTGGCATCTCGGCCAGAGGACAATCAACTGAGTCGTGTGAATGGAATACACAAATCCGCCTGGTTCGCCATCCTGTGCACTGGAAAGCATGTCGATATTCCCCCGACGGCCCAAGTCCTGGAGCATAGCAGCCATGTCGGACCATGTAATCCTGGATCAAAAGCCTCGAGACTCGACCATAAGGTAGTCATTAAGAAACGGGTGCATGCGTTTAAAGTACATGTGGCGTCTGTTGTCCTCAATGGTCACGGATTGATACGCATATCGAAAACAAGGCTGCGAATGATCGCGCTGGTTGGCACCTTCATGGGACCTCTTCCAGTTCTCAGTATCATATAGGCTACAGGCATATCGCTGTAGCACAACTAGGTCGAGATTCAGCTCCTGAGATCTACTACTGCTATAGCACTTACCTGCTGCAACTTGACATACTTATCCATATCGCTCGCTGCCTCCAGACTGAAAACAATCCTCCCAGACCCTGCCGGACTGCGCCAAGGCTGTATATGCCGGCGAGCCCTTGGCTAGCCCTGCAAACTGCGCACAGATCTTTGGCAGGAAGGCATGCCGGCCTCGATCTAGCCTCGACGAGCCAAGGCTGGCGATGCGCTGCTGTGGGTGTGAGTGGAAGTGGGATTGGAATGGGAAGAGGCCGGGCGTGGAGATGCGGCTGAGGCGGCTAAACAGGGACATGGTCGTGATGCAGTCGGAAGTGTTTGGGGATGGCAGGGGTCGTTTGGGGGATTGTGTTTTGGATAGAGTGGCGCTGTGAGACCTAAGAAGAGGTGGACAGGGACTCGGTGTATGAAGCAGGAGGCAAGCTTGAAGTCTATCTGGATATACTTTCTGCGACTGTCCTGATTAGACAGCTTGACGTTGTAGGTGTTTGGACATGCGAATTGAGTTTGTTCTAAGCTTTACCCATGAAATAACATCGTATAACCAGTAGCTCTACTGGAAGCGTTTATCTCTACTGGATAAATCGAGATGTATACGAATATGAAAGAATGACAGACATCAGTAGAGTAAGAGCAGAATTATCTATTCGCTCTATAAGATAGGTAGAGTTAATTCGTATATATCAAAGCCTATATATGTAATTTTATAGATGTCATCGAGAGTGCCTTTTCAATATTATGGCATGCTCCTGAATGAGATGAACTCTAGTCTGATCAGTAGCAAGTCTGGCAAACGCGCTCAGATGCTCCTTCCACGCAATCTGGCCATTCTGAAACACGGCAGGCTGCGTGTGGGGTCGATGATCGGGAAGGAGTCTGACAGGGGGTGGAAAAGATACAGGCACTCGATATGAAGCACAAGGCACGAGGAGAGGTACAAGTACTTCGTATGAGAATGGGAGGTGAAGTCGTCATAGGAGTCGATTGTTGGGTGGTCCCTGCTCTCGAGTCTCGTATCGTCGGGACCAAGCTTGTGGATTCGGATGTACGTTTACTTGTACTTGTACTTGTTGTGTGTGGCAAGGGGATACTGTACCAGACTGGAGCCAGTGTCGACAACGCACATGCAAGCAAGATTCACCGACCATTGACGACTTTTCCCGAAAAAAGAAAAGAAACAGAACAGACTGGCTGGGCATCCACCGCATTTGCAGGTTAGGCACAAAGGGGAGCACCAGCAAACAAGGTGAAGATTTTAGCTCGAACCCCGCCATTTGTGCTTATTCTGGTGTGTGTGTGCCTATGCGTTGCATCCAGTCACGAGCGTCACTTGCTGGAGGGTGTGCTTGTCACGTATCGTACCTATTCAGGATCCAGTAATACCCTCTTCTTCCCCTCTGAGTGGCGATTCCACCAATTTATTCTCGCTCTTTTTGTTCGTGTACGAGCACACGCTATACCGTAAGACTTCGTACGTGTGTCCTTCTCCTCTCTCTGCTAGTATTACGACCTGCATGCGTCTCCCCTCTTCCCCTTCCATCCTCACGTGTCCGCGCTTCTCCCTGAGGGTGTCGTCACGCCCCGTCCTGCAAAGGCTGTGTGCGTCCCTGTTCCTGCCAACGGCCGCTGATTGGCCGGCTCAGGGCGACAATGGCCTGTCCCTCCCCTGCGTCCAAAAAGGCACAACACACCTCCATGACGACCCCCCTGAAGGTACCGGTACGGCTACGAACAGGGGGAGACGTCGGCTTCCTCTTGTTGTTTTTCTGGTGTGCCTTTTGCCGCCCTGACGCGAGGCAGGGGTTGGGCTGCTGTTGGGCTCTTTGAGCCACTCACAGGTCGCGTACGAACAAGTGCAGAGAGGATTATTTTGGTGCTGCAAGAAATGTATTTTTGTGCCCGTGCGTTTTGGGTGCTATTGACCACTGCATTGCAGAGGCTTCCTGTTGTTATTTCTTCCAGTGCCTATTTTTGGGCGTTTGTCAGCAGACGGGGACACAACGATGAAATGCCATTTGAATCCAATGAAGAACAAGCGACCGTGCAGAAGTGCTCGTATAGTCTCGATGTACTATACATGCTTTCGGCCGGACTCCTGAGGCACAAGCCCACGCACGCAGCATCCGAGGAACAGGAACAGGCACAAGTACATGTACTTGGCCCGGGCAGACGCGCGCCCCTGATTGGCCCGAAGCCGCCCGCCAGACGCAGCCACTGAGCGCCTCTCTGGTTCGCTCGGGAGGCAGGCCAAGGCCCTCTGCGCGCCGTGATTGGCCGACATGCCGCAGCCCCGACCCCGCCAGACTCGAGGTGATGCGGCTGCGCCAGTGGCTCCAGTGGCTCCAGTGGCTCCAGGGCCCCTTCGCACGCGGTTCCAGCGCCCCCAGCTGTCAAACCAGCGCTGTCACGGCGCCCCGGCCACGCTGGGAGCCAGCCAAGCCAGCGCACCTCCAGGGGTCCAGCCCCCCGTTCCCAGCGCCATCCTGTTCTGTGCTGGTCGCTGGACCCGCCTGGCCGTCCGCCTCCCTCCAGTCCACCTGAAATTTCCCAGCTTCCGCGACGCCACTTCGGCTCGTCTCTTTTTCCTGTTCCCTTTTTCCTTCTTTTTTTTTCTTTTTCTTCCTGGCTTCTTCCCTTCTCCCATCTTCCCTCTCTCCACCCTTCCTCCACCTCCGTCCGTCTTTGTCCCATCGCCATTTACACCGCCCTTCGCATCTATTCTTCCCTCTCTTCTCCCTTTCTTGCCGCGCCTTATTTTTCTATTTTCTCTTCGCTTTTCGACTCTCGTCCTGCCGGTTCGCCCTCGCTCGCCGTTGCGCTCACATCATCGACTTCGATATCGCACTCGTCGGGACTTTCGGACCCTGGGATAAAAAAAAAAGAGTTAAAAAAAGGATTCACAAAAAAGAACAAAAGACGAAAAAAGGCCAAAAATAAAACACACACAAACTCGACACACCTTCTCAGGGACAAGAACAGAAAATAAAGAGGACAAGGACAGGATTCAAAAGCTACACGGATCGCGCATTCACTCGCCACGCCACATCAACCAAGACTCATCACCGTTAATCGACTGTATTCTACTTCTACGACCGCTCCTTGCCCTCAGCGCAGACTCCGCATCATCTCAGCGTTTGTAATCCGACCGAGCATTGATTGACAGGAACATCATCATCATTTCGACGACCCTCGAGAGGCTTGTTTGTGTGGCGTTTTCTTCACGACAAGTCGCGTTTCCTCCACCGCTCAAGAGAAGCCGCGCCATTTTGCATGCTTTTTAAGCTTTCCAACGACGCGAATTCTTTTGTCTGTTGACGGAAGGCTCACCAACTCCATCGCGATTCGCCCCGGGAACCAAAATCCCTCGTCGGCTCTCGCATCAAGTTGCCTTGTGGCGGGTCTCTTGTTCGTCGTTTTACGTCGCCCCTTCCATTCTGCCGCATCTTTGCAGTCATTCCTCTTCGTTCCGAACCATCAAGTTTTGTGTGTTTTTTCTCCTCGCTCTGCTCTTTTCCCCGCCAAATCACTCGGTTTAATTTTCCACTCTCCGCGCCTTGTTATTTAATGCTTGGAGATTTTTCCTTCTTGTGAGAATACTACGATTTCTTGGATTTTCGGCTCTGCCTCTCCTTGGTTGTCATTCGCAACCTCGACATTCTTCACACCGCCCGAGGCCGCCTCGAATCTTCTTCGCCTGACGAACAATCTCTTCGGCTGCTCTCGATTCAAAACATCGCTTCGCATTTTCTGTTACACGAAAACCTCATTCGACTTTATCTTAGATTTCTAATTCTTTTTCTTTCTCGGAGCGCTCCACAGCCGGCTGAACCTGTTACTTCCGCTCGCCTGTAGCGTCATTTCTTCCTCTGCCACGTCAACTCGATTCGCAGACGCATTCATCTTCCTTCCCATTTGAGTCATGGACGCAGGCAGTCTCGCTCAGATGACCTCCAACTTCGCTTCTCCCGGAGGCCTGGCCTCGCGCCGCGGAAGCCAGAACATCAAACCGCTGTCCTTTGATGCCATTAAGCAGGGCAACAAGAATGCCGACGGCGGCATTCCCACTCCTCGCACCAGCCGCTCTCACCTGCTTGCGGGCCTGAGAACGGCTCCCAAGTCGGCTACGGTGGCTTCCTTTGGCCCAATGTCGCCCACGGCCGCTGACGGCCCTGTGCAGCAGTATGCTAGGAACAGCATGGTCGCCAACGCCTATGGCTATGGCCAGGGCAATGTCTACAACGCCCCCAAGACGGCCTTCCCTCAGTACGGTCAGCAGCAGCACCAGCAACAGCAGCAGCAGCAGCAGCAGGCCTACCAGCAGGCAATGATGGCACAGCAGTACACTGTTGACCAGGTGCTCGCTCCCCCTCAGCTGTCCATGGACGAGCAGCTGCAGGAGCAGATGGATCCCAACCTCTACGCCCAGCTCGTCGCCACCAACCTCTATCTCGCCCAGCAGCAGCAGAGGCTCCAGCAGCAGCTCCGTAGTGTCCAAGCCGCCGCCCATCAGTTCCAGCAGCTCAACATCAACAGCAACCAGCTTGCCCAGCAGCAGGCTGCGGCGCTTTATGAGCAGCAGCAACACCTGGCCGCCCAGGCTGCCGCTGCCCAGGGCCAGCAGGTCTACTACGATCCCTCCACTGGCCAGTACTACGTCGACACCTCCTCAGCTGCCCGCGCCGCCAACCTCGAGCAGCCCATGACTCCCGGCTTCAACAACTTCCAGCAGCAGTTGCAGCAGCAGCAGCTGCGCCAGCAGCAACAGCAACAGCAGGGAGCCCCGCGTGTTCAGGTTTCGCCGCCTCCCGAGGGCCAGCAAGCCTCGTTCCGCGGCTCCTCGCCCCCGCGCCGCTTCGATTCGCCCCAAGAGGTCGCTCCTCTCCCTCCGCCGTCTGCCAACGCCTTCCGACGCGGACACAAGAAGTCCTCTTCCCTGGCCGTTAACAGCGCGCTGGCTGCCGCCTCTGTTGTGAACGAGGCCGGCAAGACCCCCGCTCCCAAGACCGCCGTCTTCCCCCAAACCCCTGGCATCGGTGGGTATGGCCCCGGCCAGGCACGCGCCGGCGAGCACCCGATTCGACAGCCTCGCGGCCCGCCATCCATGGACGAGCTCAAGGCGAAGCCCACGGCCAGGCACGAGGGCAGCAAGAACTTTGCCGCGCGCACCCGGCGCTCTGCTGTGCACAACCTTGTCCGCGCCGGCCTGGAGCGTCGCAAGGGATCCGGCAGCTCGAGTGGCAGCATGAGCCCCGTCTCGGAGACGGCCGAAGAGTCGACCACGCCCATCACCGACAACGACTCCGACTCTGGCCGCAGCGGCTCGGGCAGCCTGGCCGGCGAGATTGAGAGCGGCGCTACGCGAGCCTCCACTGCTGGCGGTTGGGGTGCCATCGGCTCAGACCGACCCGGCTCGCGGCAGAAGACCCGCGGCAGCGTCGACAGCAACAGCAACTCTGGCTGCGAGAGCGACAGCAACTCGTTCGCCGACGTGTTCAAGAATGGTGCTCTGCGAGCATCCAAGGCACAGGAGGCTGATGGTCAGCGCAAGGCATCCAGGCTGGTTCTGACCACCGTTGAGAAGCGCAAGATGGCTTCGGCGGCATAAGCGCTCAAGTCGTGTGTTTTTGTACCGATTACTCTTCTTGTGGTTCCTATTCTAATTCTGATGACTTGACGCTCCCCGAACCCTTTTGACTTGATATTCTCGATTTTGTCTTTTTCGCGATACGACACTTTTTTTTTTTTTTCCAGCCGCGGATTGCATTTTAACCACACGAACTCGACAGCTTTTCGCTTCTCTTGTCATTACGAGCCAGTCCCGCATGGTAGATGCCTACCTCATGCGCCGAGGCGAGGCCGTGGCCATACTTCAACAATGATTATTTATAATTCACTTCTCGACTGTCATTCATACGAATTTCTTTTATCTCTGGACCGGAACAATTGGGGGCGGTTGCCCAGGGACTGTTTCGCTTCACGGTAGAGGACGCTGGAGAATATCTACCACTGGCGAGAGACGACATGATGAAAAAGACGAGGCGCAACAGTCTGCTGCCTTTCTCGGGAGTGGAATCCAACCGTGGCTCCAGACGGGGCCCGAGGTTGCAGGACTGCCCGAGGGGGCCTGGCGTGCAGACATGATCACCTTTGCCCTCTTGACATTCTTTTTCGTGTATCTCGAGCGCGTATGGTTTTTGAACTTGTACGGGGGTTGAGTGCCGGTGGAAGGGCTCTGGGGTGTGAGAATACGTAGGTAGATAGTTTTCAGAGAGTGGTGCTCAATACAATTGATGGCCACGGACATCTCGTTTCCCTATTTCTTGTGAAGTGTTGGTGACGTTGGTGACTTGGTGAAGATGTGACATACAAAGGCTTGTTTACCACTCCGCCGAGCATATTTCTACGTACATGTATTCTTTCACCAAAGAACTCGCCGACATCTGAAGTCAGACAGCCCGTCCATCCATAATTCAGCAGTCCACGCTCATCTATCCCGCCCCTTGTTTATGCTTCTTTTCTTCCCTTTCCCGTGTCTTTGCCGGTGGTGGTCAGAACGTGTTATACATAGTATCATGTGTGTATGTGGTAGCGTGTCTCTCTCTGTGGTGTGTGTCTCAGTGTAATATGTAGTTGAACCACAAACAAGTCTTGGTCATTGCGTGTGTGCCATTTTCACACTCTGTTCTTCCTTTTCTTCTTCTTCTTCCGTCTCTATTTGCTTTGTTGTGCTGTCTCCATGGCCGACGTCTCCTGGATCTTCTTTTCCCCCCTTTCCTTCAAGGACACGAGAGGCAAGAGTCGGCATAGGGTTGGTGGGTTGGTTGATTGTATTTCTTTATTCGATAACGTGCGTCTCATCATCTCGGTCTTCCATCTTTCGTCTTCATCTTTTTCAACTGCTCGTGCTTGAGGTTCATACTGGAGGTATAGTGCATGTGGGTGACAGAGAATCGTATAGGGGTATACATGCATTTGTATCATATAACCGGCACGCAACGTCACCGACTCGACTGCCTCATAGCCTCAATCGAAGACGCAATCGAAGAGGAAGACGTCTTGTGCCTCGCCTTGGGCGTGCTCACGCCCACGCCCACGCCCGCCATCCCAGCGCTATTGCTGCTGCTCGGCCGCGACGACCCGTTCTCCCTGCTGCTGCTGCTGCTGCCGCCGCCGCCTATGCCTAGGTTGCTCTCGCTGCGGACGACCATGGGGGCGGCGAATTCCGACCGGAGCATGCCCGCGCTGCTGCGATTCTGGATGCCGCCCGTCATCGGCGTGCGCGGCAGCCGGCTCTTGACGCCTCCGGATCCCGAACCGCTGCTGCCGGGCATCGGGTTGAAGTCGTTGCTGATGCGGCGCGGGATGCTCCCGGGCCCGTCGCGGCTCTGGGGGCGGTACATGACGTTGTCGCGGTCCAGGGCGCCTGAGCGGCGTGGGCTGGCGGCGACCTCGATGTAGGCGTTGCCGGAGGCCATGCTGCCTCGGCTCCGGTGCGTCGGGGTTTGTGGCATGGACATGGGCGACCCCAGGCCTTGCGGCGTGTAGTTTGTGTTGTGCCGTGACCCGCGTCTTGACGAGGAGGACGTGAGGTTGACCTGGGTGGACGATATCATCCCGTCGTGCCTCATCATGACGGACGACGCCGGATGCGATGAATGTGCCTTGACCAGCTCCGAGGCAAGATTGCGAACAAGCACGGCGGAGTCCTTCTCGGCGAGGACCTGAATCGAGTCCATGAGCGAGCGCATCTGGGCACTGTTGAGCGTCCGAGCACCGTCTCCGCTTCCCAGGACGCCCGGCTCGCAGACGTCCATAATGGCACGCACAAGCCTGAGCAGGTTGAGCCGTACAACCGCCTTCTTGTGCCCCAGCCGCTGGGTGATGCCGGCAAACATCTCGGGCTTGGCAAGCGACACTGTCAAGCCTGGACTCAGCCGAAGAAGCTTGAGCAGAGGCTCCAAGAGGTTGAAGTCAAACGCGTTGAGCCTATTCGTGCCAAAGCAGGCGACAATGGCGCGCGAAAAGCCGTTGTCCATCAGATGGTTCTCCACGTTGGCCGTTTCCTCCTGCAGCCAGACCAAGATGGCGTCCAGCGCAGTGACTTGCCAGTACTGGTCCGACAGCAGAGATACGTAGAAATCGAGGCCCTTGTTCTGCCAGAGGTATCTCCGCCCCTTGGACCCGGAGTGGGCCATGTCGCAGAGAATGGGCAAGGCGAATTCTTTCGGCGGCCGGTCCGTCTTCATGATCCGCAGTAGCAGCGGGATGATGCCCCCGACGGCAGCGTCTTCCTGTCTTTCCTTGCTGAGCCGGCAGAGGTTGAACATCGTATTGAGAACCTGATTAGAGATCTCGCGAAGGTGTTTGTGGTTTTTCTTCATGCTGTAGCTGAGCAGGTCGATGAGGAAGTCGATGGCGTCGGCCGAGTGCAGCGACTCGATGGTTGTCGAGAGCATGGACAGGTTCTTGATGAACCTGAGCATGGTGATTTGATGCACCGGTGTCATCCGCCGGAGATCCTTGAGGACGCTCTTGAGCACCTGGCGATCTGCCACCACCTCCTTGACGTAGTTCTCGGCTTGGCTAAAAAGGTAGAAGATGTTGACGATGCGTCCCTCGATAAGCTCACTCAGCTCATCCTCGCCCTCCTCATCAAGTACCCGATGTAGAACGAGCGCCAGTGGGTAGAGGATTTTACTCCGTGAGAAGATTCTGCAAAAGTCGTTCTTGGGCGTCGGGCCCTGTAGCTCAAAGACATTCCATATGCCGTTTACGCCGATGAGCACCAGATCCCGGGAGCTATCATAGTCTTCGTCCAGGAACTCGACAAGCACGTTCAGACCGCCGGCTGAAACAAACATCTGCAGCGTCAAAGTCGATGTCTGGTACATTTGGCGGACGAATGCGGCGGCTTCGAGGCGAATCTCGTTGGGGTACTGACGGGCGGCAAACTTGGTGATGATGGGAATGCCGCCCACGAAACACAGGTTCTCCTGGATCTCAACATCATCGAGAATGATCTGTATGACAGTCAGAAAGATGGACAGAAATGTAGACCCGGATTCGAAGACTAGAAACACTGACCGCATTGACAACTTTGAGCAGCTGTAAGATCATGTGGTGCCTGCTCTTCACCGTACAGGGCTCCAGAATCTCCAATAATGGTAGCAATCCGTGAGCACTGATGATCAGATTTTTGGCTTCTGGATTTTCCCAGAGCAATACAAGCTGAGGATGGACGTTAGTATGAAAGTGCACATGGGGCGGTGCAACATCTGTCAGGCACACTCACCAAGTCTTCAGACAGCTCCGCCAAGATATCATCACCTTCCGTCGTTTTCAAAGAGGCCACCAGCTCCTCAACCTTCTCAGCAAGACGCGCATGCCGGTCTCGGGCAATCTTTGCGTCCATGTCCATCTCATCCCACCCCGGATCCATGGACGCAAACGGGTCGTCTTCGTCGTCGTCATCGCCCAGCCAAGAGGTACCTGACATTCGGGACATGAGCATGAGACCGGCATCTTCGGAGCCTCGCTCGCTTTCTTCCTTCTCGGCTATTGATTCCTCGGGCCCGAACACGTCGGAGAAGTCCTCGTCATCATCTTCGGCGAACTTCTGAATCTCGATAGAGGAGCGAGTGCGTCTCATGGGACGGTCGGGGAGAACTGAGGGCCTTGACAGGGGCTTCTTTCTTACTACGCTGCCATCGGGTGCCTGCATCGAGCGAGGCAGGCTTGTAAGGTCAGACGGATGGAAGAGCTGGGGTGCTTCAGGTTGACGCAGGCCGCCCTGTATAGATTCACTCCCTGTCAGCCAGCCGGTCGCTTTCACATGGGAATGGCACGTGAAGGTGCATAGACTTACCTTTCGGACAGCTTGATGGACCTTCTGGTCAAACACACTATCGTCATCGGAGAAGAGGTCGGAGTAGTCCTCGGAGCTTTGCTCCCTGTAAATAGCGCCAGGGCGAGGAGGCAGCTCAAACTTGTTGCTGAAGTGCGACTTCGGGGGCGTCTTCGTCCGAGACAGGTTGGGTGAGGCGCTTGCTGGTTCAGGAGCTGATCTGGACGCTTGGTGCAGTACTTTTGGTGGTGAAGCAGGCTTCGAAGCCGTCATCCTCCTTGACACGGGCCGTATCGTCTGTTCTTGTGATTCCTGGTAGAGCTGTTGGTGTTGTTGTTCTTGCTGGTTTGGCCCCTTGATGGTCATCATGTTGCCTTCGAAATCCCCATCGTAATTTTCCACGTCGGCCCTGAGGTCATTCACTGACGCAAAAGCCTTGAGCTTGTCAGCGGAGAGAAGCCCTCCAAAGTTGTCTTGCGGCCTCAGATGCGGCAGCTGCAAAGCACTCGGTGAGATTGCCGTGGCAAAATCGTCGTCCCAATTGTCATCATCTCATGTGGTGTTAGTGTTCATCAGAAGTTATCAGAGTCAAGAATGCTGGCATACCTAGCTCGGCCAGCTTGAAGGCTCCCACTCCCGGTGCACCAGCACTGAGCCTTGGCTTCGCGAGGCTTAGTCTGCTCTTGGAGGGTGTACCGGTAGGATATCGAGAGATGCCTTCGGCCCCGGCTGATAGGCGAAGAGAAGTCCCGGAGGAATTGAGGGCCTTGTTCCATTGCTTGACCTCTTCGACGGCTTCATTAAAGTTGGCCGGCGGCCTTGAGACTGGCGCATCCGTGCGGCGACATCCCACAATCCAGGCATGCCTGAGGAGTTTTCGAGCCGAGACTCTGAGATTGGGGTCTTTTTGAAAGCACTGCATCAGGAAATCTCGGGCAGCCTATCCTTGCATGTTAGTTCACAACGCTTAGATGAGACTCCCTCACTTCAGGGGCTAGCGAGTTGGCAGGAGAAAAAAAACGTACGGCGGAGATGCCCTCGGGCAATGGAGGGTGATCATCGTTGACAATGGCGAACAATGCCGGCATAGCAGCAAGATTGTGATATGGCGGCCGACCCTGGAGAAGCTCGATGACGGTACACCCCACACTCCAGATATCTGAGGCAGAGCTGGCGCCGGACAGCTGGATGATCTCGGGGGCCATCCAGTAAGGGGTGCCGACGACCTGCGCCTCCTTGTCCTGGCCACCGGCGAGTGTGCTGGTGGAGACGCCAAAGTCGGCAAGCTTGACGGTCCCGTCCTTGGTGGTGAGGATGTTGGCGCCTTTGATGTCGCGGTGGATGACACCCTGGTCGTGGAGGTACTGGAGGCCCTGGAGGACTTGGGTCATGTAGACGCCGACCAGGTTTTCAGGGAACTTGCCATATTCTCTGCATATCGAATGGAGAGAGCCGTTTTCGCAGTATCTGATGATGCTTGGTTAGTATACATGCTTGATACTTGGCTGGAGAGTGGTTGGATCGCTTACTCCAAGATGATGTTGAGGCATTCCGTTGTCTTGACGGCGCCGATGTACTTGACAATGTTGTCATGCTGCTTATGGTCAGCCTTGCTGCATCGTCCACTCAGCCCAGAGGGTGTCTTGTACTCACAAAAAGATTCTTGAGGAGGTCGATCTCGCTCTGTGGTCACATTAGTAAGTAATCAATTTCGGCCAACATCACCCGATTATGCTCAGAAACAAGTCCTGAAGGACAACGGCAAGAAAATCCGTATAGTGCTGCCCCGAACTCACCTCAATCATGCGCAGCTCGCTCTTGGGCAGATCCGTCAACTTGATCTGCTTGATGGCGACGGCCTCTCCGGTGCCCCAGTTGAACGCCTTGTACACCGACCCAAAGGCTCCCTTGCCGAGGCATTCGCCCAACCGCTATCATCCAATCAGCACAACCGTTCTATATCTCTCAACGAGGGCAACCGTTATCATTCTTCCCCTCCCCCACAATCAGACCATTGTCGCTCCGGATAGGATTGTACTCCTGTCCCCCTTCTCCCGTAGATCAAAAAGGGTGTCAAAACACGTACGTAGTCCTTGAGCCCTGGGTCTTGCATGGCCTGGCTCTCCCTTTGGCGCTCCTTGCGAGACGGCGTGGCCTGGCCGCTAGGCGGTCTCTCGCGCGGAGTGCCTGCGGCGAATCGCCCATTGCTAGCGGGATAAATGTTCTCGGCCGGCATCTCTGCGTCGATTGGTTGTGTGGCGTTCCGTCCGGCCTCTCTCCCTCTCTCTTCTCTTCTCTGGCGACGCTTGTAGGGCGTTGTGTATATGTATGTGTGTGTGTCTCGCCTTCTTCCTCTGTTTGGTCTGCGCAGCTCCCCAGTAGGGAAGCCCGGCTCTCTTGTCGTCTATCCTTCTACCTCGACGGCGGGCAAGACAGCGGCGACTGGCGCGGCGGAAGGGAGAATGTCCGTCGGGGAGGAGGAGGAGTCGATGGCATGCCCGCTGATGGGTCTGTGGCTTCGTGTGCCGCTCGCATTCGCCCGATGGTTCAACGGCGAGCAGCATTCATCGAATAGGCGGCGGTGGGGGATCGCTGCAGCAGGCAGGAGGGTCACGCATGGAGGCCGAGAGAGAGAGAGGATGATGATGATGGAGGAAAAGAGGAGGGAAGACGAAGAGAGATGGGAAGAAAGAAAGAAAGAAAGAAAGAAAGAAAGAAACGACCAGAGCTGGCGATGGTGGATTGGCGTCGGCCAGGGCGTGCCGTCTAGGTATGCAGTGATTAGCTAGCGGTGCAGCTCTCAATTCCGGTGCTGCGGTTGAATTGAGAGCTGGCTGTGGAGTTGCAGAGTTGCGGCTTGGTTCAGTTGGTTGGGTACCCACGACCGCCGGACGGAGCTTCTGAAGATGCCGCCTAAAGGGAGAGCAGAGCAGCACTGGAGAGAAGCTTTAGGTAGTGGAGGTAGTTGAGGTGTAGGCAGGGAGACGACTCCAGGGCATCAGGGAGCACTGCATTATTTACCTGGGCTCAGCTGTCGACCTACAATCGTGCCTGTCTCTTCATTACATCCACACCGGCTTCTCGTCGCCGCAAACCTTGCCGTCCCTCGACGCCGACCCTCGTGCTCCCATCGGTCTTTTAGTGATGACGCCTGCTAAAGAAGAAACTGAATAGAAACCTGGATCCCAGATGCCATGGCCTCAGTCCCCACCCATCGCCTTTCGACCCCTGTCCAGCGGGAAAAGCTTCAGCCAAAGTCCATCCCCGTTTGAGCATCCAGCACACATAGAGTTTGCACTTGTCGACCGTCCATGTCCCTTCTGGTGGCTGTGAGAAGTCCGATATTCTGATATGTTACAGCCTTGACACCGACACACGCCATTGTGCTCACCTTCCTGTCCTCCACCCTGTCCCTTCCAGGCATCCCCTGTTCCTCTTGTATCAAACCTTCAAGGGATCGTCAGTGCGCAAGAAAATCGATAGCCGAGCCTGCTAGGTTCAGTCTAAGAGAATGACCGTTGAGCGCAGCATCACACGACGCCGGATCCATGACTCTCATGTAAACCCGCGCACGCACGCGCCAGCCACTTTATCCGATTTGCAATCAAATCCCGTTGCCCAAGAGCACTATGTACGTGTAGGTACGGAGAATAGCAGATCGTAACAGTTTTTTTGCAGCTCAAGTACCGAATATGAAATTGCTGGCTCAAGATGCCATCATGCCGCAGTTCCAAATAGCATTACCCATCATCACATTACTATAGTACATGCCGTTTTCTCGTCAACCACATCCAATCTGGTGTACTAGGTAGTCAGTCAGTTTCCCTTTCCCGCCAGAGAGGGCGTAAAAACCAAACAGGTATAATTCTCCAAGCCAATCGACCAGTAAGAAACAAAAGGTGCCAATATGCGAGGCAGCAACCATCTCCGCTTTCCAGGAAACGGTACTGCTTTTCTGTATGAGCTGACGCTCTCAGTCTTCTCCAACAAAAAAATCTCCCCCCTCACCATTGGGACCCGTCCTGGGGAAGAGTTCGATTGAGGCCAGCCTCAGCCCACCACTCGTCCGGGATATCTTCTCTGGCCGCAAGACTGCGGACGATTCGCTGCATGCCTGACCACTCTTCGTCCCCAGTATGAGCACCACGACCGCTGCCTGCTGATCCTTCCCGGTTCGGCTGGAGGCGGCCAGGTCGGCTCTCATCTTCTGAGCCTGAGCCTGAGGTCCGACCGTGGGCTAGCAGCAACGGAGAATCCCGGGGCGCGAGGCTCCGCACACGTCTGGATGCTTCAGGCCGCTGAGGCGGTACTCCAGCTGCTGGGACGCCGTTGAGGCTGTAGAGGCGCACAACCCCGACGTCTCTGGTAAGTGCAGCAGCCCGAGACTGCCAGTTGGCGTAGTCGTTGTTGTCTTCGTCTTCGTCGTCGTCGTCAGACATTTCATGTCCCGACTCACAAGCACCGTCAGCAGCTTCGTCAGGCACGCCTGGGGCAGGCGGAGGAGCACTGGAAGGGCCTGCGGTCTGGGATGCGGCTGCAGACGCAAACGAGGACGTTGCGCTCGGCGGTTGCGGATCGGGCGTCAGCGTCGAGAGTAGGGTGTCCCAGCCCTCTGGACTCAGGCTTCTATCACGGTCTCCTAGGCCATCATACGAATTGGAGTCGGGGCGGTTGTTGGCGTACGAGTGCCGCATGAAAGCGCGGAACTCTCGCGCCTGTGCTTGGTTTCGGCGCCAACGTCTGTAAACCTGAAAGGCGTTCGGCTGAGATATGTCGTCATTTGACGGGGATTCGGTGCGCGACCTCTCCGGCCCGTCCCGCGCAGGGCGAAGCGGTGGTGTACCGGTTTGATGAGAACGGTGCTCATGGGGGTTGCGATTGCGCCGGAGATCGTCTGGCGCAACCTGAAAGGGTATGTGTTAGCGACCTGTCAATCAGTCGAGTGCTGCAGCCGGGGAGGCAACTTACAACGCGCGCGCGCCGTGGTCGAGGTTCAGCGTTCCACCAAAAGTCCCTTTCGGCTCGAGCTTCATCATCCCTCTGAGAAGAAGGGGGACTAAAGCTATGCCAAGTGCCGCCGAAGATGGAGCTCATCTGCTGTTCCAGATAGCGATCTCTCCGTGGCGGCCGGTCCGGCCTGGTGGTGACATCTCTCAATGCCTCGCGCGCAGGGCCAGGAGATGGCTCTGGCTCGTCGGCATGAGACAACTCGGTCTCCCAGCTGGATGCCCCGACCCTCCGCCGGGGTTGCGGGTCAGGCGGTGGTGGAATGTCGACAATGCGGACAGCAGCGCGTCTGATGGCATTTCGCCTGTCGCGAAAGCCTGCCTGAGCCGAGCGCCTGATGGCTGAGCGACCAGGAGAGAGGACATCACGCTTGGTCGCCTCTTTGTGAGGGAGATCGGTTTCGACAGGGGCAACGAAGAGTCTGCCGTGGACGGTGAAAGGTCAGTCGGGATGTGCGCGACGCAGCAGCAAGAGACAGGAAAGGCGACAAGGCGAGGGGGTAGTTGAGATGGAAAGAAGAACAAGAAGACGAGGCATGGGCAACGCCAAGCGCAATGAACCCGTCGCGACGATCAGCCAGATGCCAAGAGAGCAAATAGGCGCGCCATGACAGGGAGTGACAGTGCGCATTACGCGCGCCAGCGAAGACGGCTGTTGTAGATAATCCAACAGAGACAGAAGTAGAGGCACAGGGAACCAGGGCAGGGGGCCGCCAATGGTCCAAGCAGCGGTTTGAAGAAAAGAAGAAGCCAGGGGATGATGAGACTCACGGGCGACCCATGGCGCATGTGGTTGATTTAGCAGATGATTTGCAAAGGAGCGACACCCGGACGGCGAAAGACGAAAAAGCGCGGCAATGGATTCGGATTGAGGGCGCTATGCAGCCTGCAGCGCCTGGCGGGCGATCTGACGATGACGGCAGTTGTTCGCGGCGGAGAGTCGCTGGTAGTTGTGTGTGGGGATGTACTGATGAGGGAGGGAAGGCTGATCGTCTTTCAGCGAGTCGGCGAGATGGAATCGGGCGAGAGAAAACGAGCGAATGGCGGTGGTGATGATGGAGGAGCGACGGCAGAGGGTAAATGGCGAGGCGGCTGAAGAGGAAGATGCTTTGCATCTGTTTGTGGCGCGGATCGGATTGCACGCGAAGGAAGACATGGGGAGCGTCCAACGGGGACAAGCTGTGGCGGTGCGGCAAAATCTGATGCTTCCAGGTTGTTCGTGCAACGATGCTTCTCAGCCACAGACAGCTGCAGTGGATGTGAATCAGTGGCTGGTGCGCGTATGTATCGACTGAGGTGTGCTAAAGATCAGATGGTGAGATTTCGGCATGACTAAGCCAGCTTATTCTTATCATGAGAAATCGGCTCGGCTTCATCCACCGACGACATCACAGTGAGTCCGGGAGAAGCAAAAGCACACCTCTCACTATATCAATCAGTCCTCAACCCCCCTCGTCTCCTCTGAGAGGCTCAGCTCCCTCCTCTATGGCTCCCGCGGCCTGAAATCTCCCGCTTCAGCCCGCTCCCATGCCGTCTGCCAAAGAGGTCAACCGGGCTCTGGCTCGCATCAGAGCCGTCATGCCGGCCGAGAAAAAGGTGGCATCAACAAGCCGCAACATCCGCCTGGGCCTGGAGCGCATCAGCCACGTCGTGCCGCAGCATCAGAGCTGGCTGGGCGTCCATGTGGGCGGCACCAACGGCAAGGGATCCGTCTGCAACCTGCTCTCGGGGCTGTTCAGGCTGTCCGGCATCAGCCATGGCATGTACACGTCGCCAGCCATGCCCGAGAGGCACAACGGGGTGACCATCAACGGCCTGTACGTCAACAAGCGCATGTACGAGATGGAGGTGAAGCACATCGAGGACAAGTTCAACCGGGTTGCGTCTGGCTGGCGGTTTGCCGCCGGCGAGGATCCGGGCAGCCTGACGCCCTTTGAGCTCGAGACGGCGGCCGCCTTCCGCATCTTTGAGAAGATGCATGTCAACTACGGCATTGTCGAGGTGGGCATGGGCGGCGCTACTGACGCGACCAACATCATGAGACAAAAGTCCGTCACCGTCATCACCAAGATCGACCTCGACCACCAGGAGTACCTCGGCAACACCATCGAGGAGATTGCAAAGGTCAAGGCCGGCATCATGCGGCCTGGCGTGCCCTGCATTGTCGACCACTCCAATTCCAGCTCAGTGCTCAAGGTTCTCCGGCGGCATGCCAACAGCATCGGCACCCAGATCAGCCCGTCGTGGAAGGGAGAGTCTCTGTTGGCAGGGCTTGATACTGAGCGCTTCAAGCTGGAGGACTATGAGAGGCAGAATCTCCTCTGTGCGACACTCGCCTTCCGACACCTGTTCCCGAATCTCGAGATTGACGTCAACAAGCTGTTGGCAATGGAGCCTTTCCCGTCTGGGCGAAAAGAGCAAGTCAAGGTTCTTGGTCTCACCGGTGGCACTCGTGAAAAGCCGATTCTCGTGGATGGCGCTCACAATCTGCTTGGAGCCGAAGCGCTGGCTACGTATGTGCAGCACCAGGTCCGCCGGGGAGACGAGCCAGTTTCGTGGGTCATGGGACTGTCAGCCAGCAAGAACAAACCGTTTGCTAAAGTCATCTCGACCCTGGTACAGCCCCAAGACAACTTTGCCTTTGTCGAATATGCTCCCGCTCCCAACGAACCACCCCCTGCGCCTGCTGAGCTCGGCCGCGAGATTGGAAGGTCCATTGTTCGCCATGAATCTCAGCTGTACGACGGGGATCCTCGGGTCGGCGCAGGCGTCCAATGGGCTTGCGAAAAGGCCGGCGACGGTCCAGTCATACTGACGGGTAGCCTTTATCTGATTAGGAACTTTTACAAACTGGACGGCGTTGAGCCAAAGAGGAAGACCAAAACACGGAGGCCAGGTGCCGCGCAGCTGTGGTACTACATACAGCTATCGCAGCAGCGAACGCTGACTCCTGAAGAAGCCAGGGAGTTCAAGCGAGCGCGGAGACATTGGTATCTGTCGCCTGCGCGTAACTCTACTTTCAGAGGGGTGAGGTACGGCGGCCAACCCAGGTCCGCCCGCGTTCCTGAGCGGATCCGTGCCTTGCAGCGACAGGTCGAGTTTCACAAGAAGCAGGCAGACGGTTACCGTAGCGCCATAGAGAGTATGGAGAAGGACCTGGCAGCTGGACCGCCCGATGCGGCCGCTGCCACCGACTCGTCCGACCTGCAAGTCAGCATGGAAACGCTCAAGCGGCACCGCGAGGAGCATCTCAGCGCGTACAACAGCGCCATGTTCAAGCTTCGGGGATATGTGCCTCTGCCCGAGAAGAAGTACATGAGCTACGAGCAGGTGTTTGGACGGCCGCCGAAGCCCAAGGTGCCTCAATTTCCCTTTCCCGAGGATGACGGCACGGCTTTTGCAACAGCAGATGAAGACGTCGCTGCGTCCCGAGATGTCGGGACTGCTTCTCAGCCTGGTCAAGCTGCCCCCGGGGAAGAGAACAGGGCAGAATCATCACGGAGTTCGCGCTTTGGGAAAAGGGCCGGTCGTCGGGACGGCACCAGCAAGGAGACGGCTGCGGCCGAGGCGCGCGACCTTGTCGACAAATTGACGAGGGGGCGTGTCGTTTCTGAGGCCGAGTCGAGCAAGCCGTGATCGGTCAAAGGGGTTGGCGTGTATGATATGATGGAGATTTTGTATGAAACGGACGGTTGGCGGCCTCCAATATTCATGAGATGGATAAAATAGTCAGCTCAAAAGGCAATGCTGGCAACTATATAGAGCGGTGCTTGATCTTGTTTATACATTTCGGTTTCAACACATCCAGCTTTGAGTGCATAGAACCGTGAACATGATTTCAGAATTCAAGAGATGCATCTACTGGCTGTTGACTGTCGTATCAAGAGCCTCCATCACCTATCTCGATTTTGATATGCAAGTCACCAACACTAACCCTGAACCACCGCATTTCCAGCATCCACTTCTCACCTCAAACCATCCTACCTACCTTACGCAAACCTCAAACCCAGACATCAACATACCCAGCAAGAATGTCTTCGCCAAACCACTTAATCATCGTCTGCTGCCACGGCATCTGGACCGGCGGCCCCTCCAACGGCTGCAACGAGGACGAATGGCTCATTGCCGATTTCCAGCGCGGCGAAACGGCCACGTTTATCGAGCACATCAAGGCCGGGCTTCGGTGCCTCGCTGAGGACTACGACAATGCTGTGCTTGCGTTCTCCGGGTAAGAAAAATCTTTACTTGAATCTCAACTTTCAAAATGAAGAACAGAGAAGCGTTGTTCTTGTTTAGGTTTGAGTGCTGATGATTTGCTGGGGTGGGCATTTGTATGTTAGTGGCCCGACTCGCGGAGAGACGGAACTGAGTGAAGCCCAAAGCTACGCCAACATTGCCTCCTCCAACAACTTCTTCAACATCATCATCCCCTCCACGAATAACCCCTCAAACAAAATCCTGATTGAAGACCGCGCATTGGACTCTTACCACAATATTCTCTTCAGCCTCACTCTGTTTCACACCCGCTTTCGCACTTGGCCTGTGTATCTGACGATTATATCGCACGCCTTCAAAAAGCCGCGCCTCATCAATGGCCACTGCCCGGCTATCGGGTTTCCCCTTGAGAGAGTGAGGTTCGTGGGGATTGATCCGCCGGGGATGACGAGCGGGGAGAACGTCGACGGCATCAAGGGCGTTGGGCAGGCTGTGGACGATTGGACGAGGGATCCTCATGGGAGGGGGGAGGTGTTGGCGGGAAAGAGGCGGAGGAGGAATCCGTGGGGAGTGTGGCAGGGGGTTTTTGAGCGGATGGGTGTTGATAGGGGGGGCTTGGTGACGGAGGGGGAGGGCGAGGGGGAGACGCTGGTTGATGGTGCGCCGAGGCCGTGGCAGTGAATCTCTTTCTGGGGAGCTGCTGGAGGCGTTGTGACAAGATTGTTACCTTGGTCGTAGAGAGCGAGGAATCAATTGCATAGAGCGAGCTGGTTACTCAAGTCATCAATAATCACATATACGAGACGCATTCAAGCTTGTCCATAATCGAGAGGAACCTCTCCACGCTCCATCGTGCGTACGAATACAAGACACTCTCCTCCCCCGTGCAATAGCACTCCAGAGAGAGTCTTAGCACCGAGTACTCGAGCAACGAGCCGCCCAAACAGCCCTAGGTAAAACTCGGAACAGAATCAGATTGCGTTTGTCCACGTTGGACCACTGCTGATTATTGTCTTCTAGACCCAATTCAAGCAAATCTCGTCAAGACGTTCAGGGGCTTCTTAAGCGCCCTCCATCCGATCTCTCAAGCTTCCATCGTCTATAACTCAAGAGCTCTTCTCCACAAGCTTGGCGACAGCATGGAGGAATGTTTCAGGAAGTACCTCGACGAAGTCTACGAAACCTTCGAAGACCACATCCTAGCTTTTGAAGCCGCAGAGGAGAGAAGTATCTTTTACCTGAGAGAACTAAGACAAGCCGTGGAAAGGCACCATTATATGATCCTGCGCCTCGATGCTTCAATAACCAAAGCTCTGAGCGAGAATCGATCAGCCGCTGAAGCTCCTGAGGTGATTGAGGACGAAAAGACGCCTGTTGATCCGCAGCAGCAGCCGCAGTCTGCCGGGCATGGCTCCCCCAAGAAGCAGCATAATAACCGGTTGAAGACACAGCTCAGCAACGTCCAGGCCAACCTGGATTCGGCCCTCTGCGAGATGAAGTCAGACACTTTCAAGAGATTTGCGGACCTAGAGGAAAGAATCGGTGGTATCGAAAAGAAGTTGGATCAGATGGCGCGGTCCGTCGGGAAAGAGGCGGCGTCTTCCACCAACGCAAGTGCATCAGATTCAAACGCTGAATGGCTTTGTTGCCTTAGTCCTGGAGGCCAAGGAATCACTTCCAGAGAGGGAGCTGGAAGCCTACATGTACATATGCTGCCATGATAAATAGCGGTAACGCACGCTGGTCTCTCAGGGTTGGTGGAGTTGGTGGAAGTGTTTCCGGAGGTCAAGGACTGTCGCAGGTATCAGGAAGTATGGTCAATAGAGAGTCTCAAGTCATAAGCTACTGGATCATATCCAATCATAACGTAACGTAGGGGTTGATAGACATGTGTTCCTGAAGGAGCCTCACCTAACAAAAATACCTACGCTCGCAGTCATTGGTATGGTTGTTGCCTCAGGTTACTAGCACAAGTCGTTCCTTCCTACAGCAGATGAGGTAGGTACTAGGTATGTATCAGAGATAAAACCTCGTCACGCTCTACAAAACAAAGTAAAGGTGCTCTCTCTCATTCTCTCACTATCAAAACCACTCTTCCTCTGCTACCATCAACCAGCATCATGCCCAGAGTCTCCAAGTTCAAATTCGCCAAGCCACTTCGAGGTGAAATGCATAAGCCCACCCCAGAGCCCCCATATTCACGTCGAACAACTACTCATTATTCAACTCACAGGCTTAACCCAATCATTCGGCGTTTACTCTCGAAACGCGTTGGGTGATCCTGGCCCACGGACTCCCCTCCACCTCCCGGGCTTTATCACCGAAGATCCAGACAGCATGGAAAAACGAATCAAGAAACATGTCGAGCATGGCGTGAAGAAGCTCAACACGCATGTCTATGACCTGGAAGATGCCGTTGAGGCGGGAACGAAATCGGAGAGAAAAGACATCAGAGCCATCTCTCAGCAACTGAAAGAGGCACAGGAGAAAATCGACAACCACCTGGACGACATCAAGAAAGGCATGGAACAACAGCTGGAGCTGGTACAGAAACTCGGTCCCTTGATAGCAGAAACGGCGAGAAATATTGAACTCGGCAGGAAAAGATCAGCAGCGGAAGCGTTTCGAACGGATGAAGACGACATACAGATTCGGACTCGGACTGGGCTATTCCAGCAGTTGGAGAGACGTCTGGCTATGCACCTTAGCAACACTCAGACGCATATAGAGTCGGCCGTATATGAGATGAAGTCGGGGACATTCAAGAGACTAGCAGATTTGGATGAAAGGATCGGCGCCATTGAGGAGAAAATGGACAGGATGGCCCGCTTCATGGCAAAATGGGAGGCTGTGTCTTCTGCCAACGCTGGTTCATCGGGTTTGGAAAGTGTATAAGCTGTTTATCTTGGTTTCAGTGTCAGTCGGGTTGAGATGCGGTCGGGCTTGATCCAACACAGCCACCCACCCCTTCTAGGTATCTAGATCGTCTGTATATAGGTAGGTATACATAATCACATCTTCGCTCTCGCCTCACCACCATCCCTTCCACGTCTCCCCTCCCCAACAACCCTCACCAGAAAATCCACGGCATCGCTCACCATCTCCGCCGAAAACTTGTGTCCAACACCCTCGTACACTCGATCATCCACCTCCAGCCCGCCATCCTTGTACCACCCCTCCGCAGCGTCCTTCAAGACGCCAATGAGCGGCTGCGCGTGCTTGTACGGAACCAGCTCGTCTGCGGCCCCCGAGCACAAGAGCAGCTTCTTGCCCCTGATGCGGCGGCCGTCAAAGATGGCACGCAACCGATCCTGCTCAGACTGGGAGAGGGGCAGTGAGGGAACGGGCTCCGTGCCGAAGAGAATGCCTTTCGGATCACTCTTTCGAATGGCGGCAATGGTATCGGCCGGGAAATACTTGCTGCCCAAGAACCCCGTCTCGCCGCAATCCAGCTTTGATGCCGCAGCACGACTACTCAACAGACCTATAACATCCTCTGTCAGCAACTCATCTACCGTCTCTCCAAAGCCTCACATCAATTCAGAGAAAATCTCACCCGCAAGATCTGGACATCCCACAACCACAACCGCCGCATCCACCCTCTCCTCCGCAAACCAGCTCTCCCACGCCGCGTGCCCTCCCAGGCTCCACCCCAGGCAAACGTGCCCGTCCACCTCCTGGCCCCTGCCCAGATACCCGCCCACCTGGTCCATGAGCAGGCTCACGTCCGCCGCGCCGGCCCTCACGAAGCCCAGCATGTCCATGGCGTGCTGCTCGTTGCCCTCGTCCCACGCCCCGTTGGCGAGCGCGCTCACCGTCCGGGAGCCGTGGTTCGGCATGTCGAATACCAGCGCCACGAGGCCCCTCTGACTGTGCTGCTGCTGCTGCTGCTGCTGCTGCTGCTGCTTTGATAGACTGCTCTGCTGGCTCTGGTTCCATGCGTAGACGGCCCGTCGCGCAATGTCGTGCATGATGCCCCTTGCGCGCGTCCGGGGATGGAGCAGCCACAGGCACGTCACTGGCGCGGGCGCGGGGGGGAGTTCCTCGAGGCCGTAGACGTCGACGAGCAGGCCGGCCATGGGCTTGGTGGTTACGGAGACATTGGGAGGAGGGGGGAGGCCCTTTGTGGTGTATTCGTTGTCTTTGACCATTTTATTGAAGAAGAAGCTGATTTTTGTATTGATGATTCAGGAGGAGGAAAGAGTGCAGAGTAGAGGAGTGAGAAGAGGGATGAGAAGTGAGAGATGAGAGTTGAGCTGACGTGAGGGATGATCAAGAGCGATGACCTTTCATCTTACAGACGGCTCTGTAAATGCCGTTGATCTCGAGTGATAGAAAGTGTCAACGTGCGTAAATGCCTCTATTCTGCTTTCGGATTAGTCATTCAGCTTCAATCACGAAATCATGGCTCCCAAACTCGGCAATCGGATCTGCACATCATCGATCAAGATAGTCGGCTTCTTAGACAACTCTGAATCTCAAACTGCCTTGTTTGACGCCAGCCAGCGAAAAAAGACAAGGTGTTGATGTCCCAAATTCTTCACAACATATAGTGGCTTTGGTCATGTCGCAGCTTCAGATAAAGTATTCATATACTGCTGTCTAACAAGAGGGTCGAAAAAGGATTGGCTCGCTCCTATATGTATATGCTACCCATGCAAACACGGCAGTACCCTGGCCGACTACCTGAAGAGCCTCCAAGGCGCAACACTTGTGAATCTCCCGGTCATTGGGCAGACATTTGGCATGCTTTTACTCCTGTACATGCAAGAATCCGCCCTTCGTTCGTTCGCTCTGTATAGGTATATCCCTCTTCCTTGGCGATTGGTTGCAGTCCCCTGTGTTTCCCGTGTAAATGGCTGATCTAGTTCAAAGCCGCGGTCCTTCTCCTGTCTTTTAATTCCCTGGCTTATCCGTCGTCAATCTTCAATCCACCTTCCAGTGATCTTGGTCGTCTGTGCTGAGCATGAGTTCAACCCCGTACAGCACCATTGTCAACCCCACGTTGATCCACCGCCAAGTGCTGCCGCCCACGTCTCCGCCCCTGAGCGTCCATCCGTCCGGCCCCTCGCTCGTCGAAAAGTGCTGTAGCAGCAGGCTGGTGTAGACGGATATCAAGATGGTGGGCGAAAAGTAACTGAGGAGGCTCAGGAACATGGATGCCGCTTCTGACTCGTCCCAGTCAGGCTCGTGCAGCATGGCGCGGGCGCCCAGGTCCCGTACCGATGGGATGATGCGGGTGGCGCAGTAGAAGACGAAGAGGCGGTATGCGAGAGAGATGATGACGGACGGCGTGATGGTCTGGAACGCCGCGTACAGCAGGGCGAGCGAAGAGTGCAGAGCGCCGGGGAGGGTGCTGAGTATGTGGAGCAAGGTCGAGTACGAGGCCATGATGATGGGCGGAAGCGGGGGGATTTCGGGCTGAGACGAGGCTTGGTCCTCGGTGGGATAGTTGCCGTCGGAAGGGAGGTAGTCGGTGAAGATCTGATAGACGCAGAGCACGACGTAAGCAAAGAGGAGCGACGACTCGACAGGGCTGCCGCGGCCGCTGCCGATGCCGTACGCGCACAGAAACACGGCCGTGGTCATGGTGGCGCCGATGAGCGTGGCGTCGATGTTGCTGATCTGGGGGAACTGGGCCACGCGCCACAGGAAGTAGACGGCGCTGGCGATGATGGAGCCCGAGAAGGCAAGCAAGACGATCTAACAGATTGGTACGGTTAGCTTATTAGCTGCTGATGTGCACTTCATGATATGTCTGTCTGCACTTACCACCCAAGTATCGCTTCGCCCTCGGTTCACCAGCCATCGAGTAATCTGGCCCGCCGCCTGGATGACGAGCAGCGTGCAGAAGCCCTCGAGCAGCTGAAAGACGGGCCCCGAGTAGCGCAGCACATTGTCCCAGGAGCCCAGCATGATGGTCTCGAGGAAGCCGTCCTTGCCAAACATCCACTCGGTCCAGCTGGTCTTCCTCGAGTGGAAGACGCCGCCGAGGTGGCGCTGCACCCAGCTCGAGCTGCCCGCATTGGCGTCGACGGCGAACTTGCCCAGGGCCCAGATGAGCAGCGAGGGGATGACGAACCACTGGGCCAGCCTCAGCAGCGACACAATGGTCCAGCGCACGCGCGACGTCTCGGGCGTGGCCAGGCGGATGGCCGAGTAGAAGATGTAGAAGATGGACAGCCCTAGGCTGTAGGCCAGCCCGCTGTCGCGCCCGCCCACATCAAAGGCGACGGGGATGGACAGGACGATGGCGAAGAGGAAGACGCTGCTGAAGAAGATGCTGAATGGCCACCACATGAGCGCGGCTGGGGGGGGGCGGCAAGGCGTATATTGCCGTGCTGCTGTCGTCGATGGTTGGTTCTTTGTTTCGTCGGCTTCGAGAGATTCGATTCCAAGGGAAGGGGGCAGCGACGGCAAAGATGCCCAGCTCCCCGAGATACAGTCGCCCGGAATCGCTCCCTCACCAGCGGCTACTCATCTGTCTGTCTCGCCCAGCACGGGTTTTGCCCGTTGACTCGCCGTTTGTTCGTCAGACAAGAGCCCGAGATCGGTGCGCAAAGAGAGGAGAGGAGGGAAGGCGTCCTCCCTGCTGTATCTTCTTCCGGCTTCTTCGACTTGGGCTTCTTCTGCGTCTTCTTCTCCCGTCTTGTTCGTCCTGCAAAAGGCGAGCCGAGGCAGCTCCGTCGAGGCGTTTCCGGTCCCTTTCCCACAACCCCGATTATTTTTGTATCTGTATTTTTTAGCTCGTATGACAAACCCGCGCCAAGATGCCCGTGAAAAGTGTCCACTCTGGGATCACGGCGGGCGTCGTGCTTATCGGCGCAAGACGACAGGACCTGCTTATCTGCACGTGAGCGACGTTGCAGGCGGTCTCAGCCACACGGGCAGATGTGAAGATGCGCGAGGGAGCAGGAACAAGCAGAAGAATCACTGTAGGGGAAATGGCAGGACTAACAGATGCAAGGTGTAATATCGAGGAGACAACAAAAGAGGGAGAAGATGGGAGACAAATGCAACGGCCAGCGCAGAGCTGCTTGCTATACCTGTAGGTCACGTCACATGTTCCTTGTGCTTGGGATCAACTTGCCTGGATGACGACTGTGGCGCGGCTTTTCAGCTGCACGGCACTAGCCACAGGCAACAGGGAAACTTGGTAGAGCAAGATGCGCTTTTGCATCAACGATTCAGAGAGATTATCTATTATTAGATTCTGACTGTTTGATAAGGCATGCCGATCAGTTTATGCTGCCAAGTACTCGCTCTCCAATATCCCGGCTTGGGGGGGTCTTGAACACTTACGGCACTGTCTTGTCAGGACGCTCTGAACTAGAGCCTATACATATCATTCACGTCTGATCACGATACAACATTATCCAGAAGAAAATGAATTGGTGGCAGATGAATATAGGCAAGAAGAAATTTTGAGTAAGGGTCAAGGAGAGTTTGGGTCGCGGCAGTTCTGTGCTTCCACACGGTTACTGTAAGTTGATATCTGATGATTTTCCTCCGTGTCAGTTCTATCACAAGGTAATATTCGTATATCTAGTATCTAGTTGCATGATAGATTGAAGGACAATGTCATTTGATTCTTGATTGACCCTCAACCCGGCCATCATAGTCCATAACATCACCTATGCACCAACTCCTCCTCATCCCAACCCTCACGCTCATCCATGGGAATCCGAACAAAAGCACACATCACCGTCGCCGCTCCCGCCAGCGCCACAGAAAACCACAACGCATGCCTCACGCCCCCAATAGGATCAGCCCCGTGCCTGTTCGTGTACATCTCAACAGTCCCGGCGAAGCCCAGCCCCGTGCCCAGCCCATACAGCTGAATCGTTCCCACCAGGGACCCAGCCACGCCCTGGAGATTCCTCTTCACGCTGTTGCTCGTGATGATCTGGGCAGCCGTGAAGATAAAGTCGGGACTGAACCCCAAGATGAGCAGCGCCGGAAACTCCTGCGGCCAGTACGTCTGGCGCACCGGCATCGTCGCGAGCAGTATCCCCGCCACGAGCGCCGACACGGTTCCAATCGCCATGACGGCCTGCGCGGGCATATGCCGCACGCAGAGGGCGCTGGCACCGCAGGCGATCGTCGCCATGACGGTAAACGTCGCAAACGCAGCAGCGTTCAGAAAGTTGGAATAGTGGCGGACGTCGACGTGCCACCGGGTTACGTAGTAGAAGAGGATGCCCGTGCTCATAAAGGTGAAGAAGGCCGAGAGGAGCATGGGCTTGAAGGACGGCGCGGACCAGACGGACAGCGGCAGGATCGGTTCTTTGGCGAATCTGGCTTCCCATAGCAGGAAGAGGGCCATGTGTAGCACGGAGAGGATGAGGATGATGTACACATAGCTGACGTCCCAGCCTTTGACGGCTGCTTCACTGTGTTTTCGGCGTAAGCAGTTGCTATCAGGGCTCCAGATGGGACTCTGGCAGAGACTCACGTCCAGGAATAGTTGAACAAGATGAGGCCACCAACGCCCAAGTAAGAGCCGATATAATCGACTCTGCCGTTCGGATCCATGGTAACCTCTTCAGACGGCACAAGAATCGCCGCAGCTCCGAAGACGACAGTTCCAGCGATGGCACTGCATCTTGTCAGCCTTGCTTCTTCCTTCTGTCGGAGAGGACGCATCTCACATACAAGAAGAAGAACAGCCACCACCAAGGCAGCAACTGACCGAAGAAGCCCGGAAACACAGACCCTCCACCAGCCCCAACAGGAGCCATGGCCCCAAACAGCCCAACCCAGATCAAGCGGCCCAGGCCGGGAGGATACGTCGTCGTGAGCAGAGCAATGGCGTTTGGTACGATGATGCCGGCTCCCACGCCGCTGAGGGCCCGCATGACGATGATGCTCTGGATGGTCCGCATGAAGCCGCATATGAGGTTGAACAACACGTAGATGATGCCGCCGATGACGAGCATCTTTTTGTGGCCGTGGACGGCGCCGATGCGGCCCCCCATGAGGACAAAAGTTGCTTCCGTTAGCCTGTTGGACATGATAAGGAGAGTCTGTATCAGCATCGTTCACTAATGGCATCTGGTGGGTTAGGGGGTGGCTCTTACGGATACGCAGCGGCGATCCAGATACCCAAGCTAGGATCAGATCCCAGTTCGGGAGGAATCGTATACGCAGCCAAAAGGCCAGAACCAAAAGGAAGAGCCTGCAGACAATCAGTCGGGACGGGGAAACCAACGACGTGAGCTGCTCAACGCCAACATACCACAACCAGTTGACACAGCACGATGCTCAGCGCAACCAAGTGCTTTCGAAGGCCATGCTTCCCCTTGAACGCATTCTCTCCAGCTTCCGTATGAATCGTCGGTTCGGCATCGATCGTGGTTGTGCTTTCGCCCGACTCCTGAGCTGTCTGCCCAGCAGGCCGGTCTACCTTTGGCTCCTCGTCGGCAGCCATCGGGTAGCAAGGTCTTTTCAAATAGCAGTCTTCTCCTTTCTCTTCTTGTGCTCCTTTCTCTTCTTGTGCTGTTTGCTCTCACTTCACAGATCTAACATTAGAATTGCCGAAGGGAAGACTTCGTGAGCTAACCGTTTATAAGTCGCACTCATGGGCCCTTTTCACCTTCAGGGTACATTCCAAAGAAACCAGAAACGCTTGGATATGGGAAGAAAAATTGACATCGTGTATACTAATAATGCAAAAGATTTCAAATTGCACAGCCAGGGGGGGCTGCGAACAAGTTCCTCCGCGAATGACCTGTCCACAGCTACCGTATGGTGGGGAGATGCCGCCTCGGAGGTGTTAGCTAAGTGCTCCGACTCAGAATATCAGCACCCATCAGACACTATTGCCGTAACCACCGCCTCCAAAAGCGCCTGTTCGCAGTACGCCGGCCCTTTATCGATGCAAAAGGATATCCCTGTGAGGACGTGGATCAGCCGCGCCCTAGACAGACGGATGTTCTTAGGAAATGCGTCCGAGCCCGTGGCGGTATATCCAGCGGCCATCTGGCCGTCGAACACGGAACCGTGATGCAGAGGCATCTCTTGCTGCAACGTCTTGAGCGTCGCCAGAAGGACGTCTGGGTCGTCCGGCGGCCTCGTGCTGAGCAGCAGTCCCGTCGGCTTGAGGTCTGTGAGTTCAATTGTGTCGACATCAATGTACTTCATTCCGCAAGCTAACAGCCACTGCTCGATCTGGTAGGCGTTCAGAAGCCGGCTCTGAGGCGGCGGCGGAGAGCCCATGTCCAATGGCTTCAGCTTGTCTCCGCGAAACACGCCCTCGACCGCTCGATACTGCGACGTGACGATGCCGTGATAGTACTGAGCCACCAGATAATCATCGAACTCGGCCGTGGCTAGTCGAACAATCTCCGGGGTCTGAGGCCGCAGGTACCACCGCAGCACCATGAGGATCTCTTCCCGCGTGCGGAATTTCAACGGGAACCCAAATATCCTGTCGACCATTGGGGTGTTCGCCTCCACGTCGTTGAGCATGGCGTCGTAGGCGTTCTGGAGAGAAGCCCTGGTCACCATGATGCTGAGCGAGTCGTCGGCCGGGTACACTTTCAGGATAGTCGCGGTGTTGGCACAGTCCGCAAAGTCGATGGGCGGCATGTTCATGAAACCGTTGCCAAAGATGTTCTTGATCTGCGGCGGCTGCGACGCGATGAGGTTGGGCCGAGCGGTCGAACCTCTGCTGCCAGGAGCAGGTGCAGATAGGGGCTGGTTGAGGGCATCCAAGTCGAGGAGCATGTTGTCCAGAACCGGCTCCTGGGGATGCCCTCCGTTTCCGTAAATGCCGTTCTGGTAGCCAAGGTGATCAACGTCGGGAGCGGCAGTCTCTGTGCTGTCTTGGCCGTTGTCGGGACCGTTCCCTGATTCATTGCTGCCCCCCTGACACAGAAACAGAATGCTGTCGGTTGCCGTCCTGAGCTTCAGAATGAGGTCCGGGTCGCGCGTTATCAGCGGCGACTGCAGGATGCCGTTGGTGAAGTCAAGGAACGTCGAAGCCATCTGCTCGAGGGCTCCCTCCATGTGCAGCAGGCTCTTCTCATAGTTCGCGTGGGCAGCTTGACGCCTGAGCCGGAACAGGCGCTGCGCTTTGCGGTTCCGCTGCCGCCGTTTCTGCAGCGGTGTCGCGCGTCAGTTGTAAGTCGCTTGACAATGGATCCCATTTATACAAACCTCTAGGCTTTCGTCATTTTCTGTCTGGTTGTTCTGCGGCTTTGGGCCAGGCCGACGCGTGCTGCGCCGTGGCTTGTCCGCAGCCACGTTCGAAGCCATGATGCTCAAGTGAGAGGAACGAGTGACTATCGGAAATGGAATCAAAATGTAGCAACGCTGAGCTTTGATCAGACTGAGTCACCCCGACTCGAGTCCAAGACATATATATTCTTAAATAGTCATTTCGAAGGCGCAATGCACGATACCAACCGCTCTATTTCATATTCCTTCGGACAATGCAAGAGACCATCAAAGGCCACAGGTTGATTACTATACATGTACTATAACAGCACTCTGGTGCATCAAATGGCGGCGGTCCCCGTGTCTGACAAATATTAATGGGTCAAAATATCCGGAGACTATCCCCTTTCCGAAGCTTGTATAAGCAACATCCAGCATCGTCCACTCGCCTCTTGCTACCGGCTGGTATCCGTAGGCTTCATGTCGAGGGTCGATGGCTGGTTTGGTGATGTTGCGATTGCCTCTTGCAGTTAGGATGGCCGTCTCACGCTCCTACATCTGCGTATATCTGTGCGTTCGTGATGATTTTGTTCGCCCCCAACGATTCAGCTTATCCGAGGGCTATCGGATACATTACCTAAGGCACCTCGAGGCTGCATCGAGACTCAGGATGACTGCAGCTTCAACTCGCAACAGCCAAGCCGTCATTTGGAATCAATACATTGTAAATTCTGTTTAATTAAACAGAATAAGCTGAAGAAATTGATGTCTTTATATTGAAGAGGTTCCCTTCATCCAACTGTTGGGTTGAAAAGGAGGTGCTACCTGCGTGTGTTGAGCGGATATAGTAAGTGTAAGTCAATCCGATAGATGCACCTTGTAGAAACATCACTGGCCTAAACACTATGATACAACGTACAAGACATCACAATTATCATCCTCTTTCTCACGAATCACAATCACGTCCCATTCGATCACCCTTGGTCGGACTCGACTAACCTCACTGCAGACATATCTTCCGAGGTGAATCGCCTGACATACATACAGCCTCCCCACTTGAGTTACTCTTCTTAACCTAGGACAGCGGTGTTACACATGGTAAATGAAGCAACATCGAGATACTCCTTCTCCAAGCTCTCGTTGCGCAGACTCTCGTTGGAATCAGTATTCACCCCTCTCTCAACTTATGGCTCAAAAACCATCTGCAACCCGTCGAGATTTCTCTCCAGCTCTCTACGCCAGCGTTGTTCCTCCTAGTCTTTAACGCTCAAGTAATTACTGATTCATGAGATGGAGAAGCCTGCGTGTTAGATAGTAGTAGGGCGAAATAGGCCCTACTTTGCATACTACGGGCAAATGGAAACGATCCTTGGCAGCAGCCGGGTTAGCTTCATCGCTCCCAATGACTTCTTGTTGTAGGGAACCAACCTATTTGCATCTGCACTTCATTAGTCAAGCAGTCCCACGAGCTACAGAAGGCTACCTTCGACTCCCTCGCGTACATCCTCAGCAACTGCGCATCCTTCCGCAAGTAACGCCACGACCGTGCAGTTGGCGTCTTTGCCAAAACCTGGGAAGAGTTCGACTACCGTACAAATACCAACCATTACATTCTGTGGATGCATGCGGTACCATCCGTTGAGGCGTTTCCCCCGAGTAAGGAGTAAAGCATTTCGGAAGAGCCCCCTTATTTGATAGGCGGCCAGGACGCCCATCCATCAAGAGCCAGTTAAAATGAATAAAAGGGGTATGTTTATGATCAGCAGGCTAAATATCATTGAGACCATAGCAACGAGAATCAGACCACGTGAGACCAACATATTAAATGGACGATTCCATACGCCTAGCTTCAGGGGATGCCACAAGGAGAATAACACTAAACTAGCTTTGGTAATACACATAGCTGAGGAATATATCTATTGTCAGCATATACCTGGCCATGAATGCACCCATCTCGAGTCTATCTTCATATCGGGGAAACAGAAGAATAGCATGAGTATCAGCAAACGAACGCTACGTGAGTAAAAGACAGGTAGTACTTCTGATTCCTAGTTACTGGACGCTGTAAATGGCTGAGCTTTGTCGTGAAAGAGTAGTCCTACCGCATAGCACTGATATATGCTTTACGTATGAGAAGTCAAACAATACTCTCAGAAGTGAGGCTTGGAAAAGGTCCAACTGCCGAGAATATTCTAGGGCCAAGATATTGCCAGGAAGTCATATTAAGGAGTAAAGGGCTCGTACTATGGGCAACGTATAACTTCACCTTCAGTTGAATCCTGAAAGAGTAGTACGGAAAATAAATTTTAGCAGTTTTTCTCCGTACCCTGCTTGTAGTGACGGCACGGGGCCGATGGTCCGAGACGGGAGGTTATCAACAGCGTACAGGGCTGACGTACATACTCCATAGTCGTATGAGGAGAAACTCGGTACCTATTCTGGAAGTTGATTAGCATTCTTGAAACCAATAAGAATAGCAGAGACGTATCAATCATCGTAGAATAAGCATTCAATAAGCAGTCTTGTGCCAGGTCCTAGATAAAAGGGTGATGCTGATGATGCCTCACCAGGGCTTACACCAACAGCCACTGTGGGGACGAATTAGTCCCCTGTTCGATCGTGCATTAACTCCGCAGCCAGTCTGCCGCTGTTTCGATCTGGCTATTCCCAAACGGGTCATGCGAGCTCATGCAAGATTGGCTTTCGAGATGGAGATGAACTTGTAAAATCCGAGAGGTCAAGCCACCAGGTGTCGGAGGCTCAGGAGTCGTTGCGGCGATAGCATGCCACAAGAGAAGATATAAGAAAGGCTTGTTAGGACAGTCTGTAGTCTGTAGACTCAAGTAAATGCCATAGTAGCAATCAATTCGACTCAGAATCCAAAACACTGCCAAAATAGCAATCAATCCCACTCGGAATTCGCCATGGCCTCGAACAACAACTTTGGAGCAGAGACAACTGCTGAAGAGGTGGCGTCGGCTTTCCGTGATCAAATTGCCGGAAAGACGAGTGAGTTGACAGCCCATGGCCAATCCTGAATGAGCAAGACGTCTGACATTTTTTGTGCAACCAGTCCTCATTACCGGCGTCAGTCCCAATGGCCTCGGTGCTGCCATGGCTCACGCTCTGGCCAAATATGAGCCGGCAAATCTCATCTTCACGGCTCGAACAGTCTCCAAGGCATCTGCCGTGGCCGATGCCATACGAAGCGAGAGTTCTGGTCTGAAGACGCAAATCCATGTCGTCAAGACCGATCTATCGGACCTAGAGAGCACTCGTCAAGGTGCCGCCGCTATCCAAAAACTGACGCCTCACATCGACATCATGATCAACAACGCAGGTGTAATGGCGATTCCCGAGAGAGAAATCAACAAAAACGGGCTGGAGGCTCATCTGGCCACCAACTTCCTGGGCCACTTCGTCCTCACCACACTTCTTCTTCCTCAGCTAAAAGCCGCCGGACCCAAGGCGCGAGTTGTCAACATTGTCAGCGGCGGATTCTACGTCCAGCCCTTCCGATTCAGCGATTACAACTTTGACGGCGATAAGGAGCTCCCAGGGGACGAAAAAGTTGATCTCGAAATGGCGGAAAAGTTTGGCATGGGCTGGGTCAAGGACGCCGGCACGGGATACGTCCCCTTTCTCGCATACTCACAAACGAGCACAGCATTGATGCTCTTCTGCAAGGGTCTGAACGAGGGCTTGTCTGGAGATAAGATTACATCTGTTACTGCCGCTCCCGGAGGTGAGCAATGCCTGCGTATAGTCTCATAAAGTGAGAGCGCTGCTGACCTTGACTAGTCGTCCTGACGGAGCTCCAAAGGCATCTCCCTGGAGAATTCAGGAACCCAAAGATGGTGTACAAGACGGCCAGCCAGGGGGCCGCAAGCTTCCTCGTTGCTGCGCTGGACCCAAGTCTAGCAGGTATGTGTGACTCGACGTGCAGGGTCGAAGACGCAGGCTGACGACGATTTAGACCATCCCGGAGCCTACATTGATGACTGTCAAATCAAGGAGACGCCTCAACATGCTCGAGATGATGCAGCTGCTCGTAAGCTCTGGTCGATGGCTCAATCCTGGGCGGAGGCGGCGTGACGGGAGCGAGTGGAGGATGAGTGAAAATCCAATAGCCATTCGACTTACACCTGGTCTGTAGCTCTGGATTGAGAATTGAACAACATTATATTACAAGTACATTAGCAATTTGCAAAAATTGAGGTTAAAATCCATCTTCAGCTCGACAATCAAAGGCCTAACAATCTCAGAGACAAGCGCGCAGATGCAGCTATCGGGGCGGCCAGTCCACAAAGGGCAGGTCGTACCCAACATTGCCGCATTGGTGATAGTCAAGCCCCAAGAGGCGCATCCCTTGTCGTCTCCGCTCCACCAACTTTCTTCCACGACATCCCAATCCTTCTCCTGTATTCATTTTTTCCTTCCATCAGTCGATGTTGAATTCTCATCTATGCTTTGCCAAGTGGTTATTGATGTGCATTTAGTTGCTGCAAACATGCTCGCCATGGCTGGCAGTGCCTCTCTGCATCCCGCGCGCCGCCTTTTAGCTGGTTCTGCCCCGTCTCATCCAACGACGATCCGAATGAGACAGACGAGTCGAATGCGACAATGTGCGCTCTTCGCTGCCTTTTAGCCAGCATGGTCATGGCTTGACTCTCCGTCGGCCATACTGCAGCAGTTGTCGGTGTGGTTTTTGGATGATGGTCCCCGCCGTGCTGTAAATGGCGCATACATCCCGATCATGATACGGACGCACAACACCGAGACCAGGCCGCCAGATATACAAAGGCGGAAACCTCTTCGCCGAGACGGACCCCTTGTGTTACGAACTTCAGTCGAAACATGTATGGGACTATAGCTAGTTGAACCTCGTTCGCGCTGGCTTTAGGCTGGTATCTGGAGCCATATGCCGCCTCGGGTGCGCTTTGGGCTGGATATCCCTCATATCTGGCGGGTGGAGTCATACCGCGGACACGTTACACGATGGCGGGACGTGCGCAGTATATCGAGCGCGTGAGTTGATTACCATCACGACACTGTTGCGCCTAAGGACCACTCGGACTCGATTCAAAGGACGGCACATGCGGATGCAAACCTTGCGAAGGCTTCAGGGCGTTCAACATACTTGTTGAATGTCCCGAATGCATCGCCAAAGCTCCCCTTCTCTCCCCAGGGAACGGGGAGCTGGCGACGGGCAGCACAGGAGCGCTCAACACTATATAAGCGCGGATATTGTCACCTGCCATCGGGGGTAGTCACCTGCCATCGGGGGTAGCGGCCCCGGAGCGCAGCTGCAAAGTGGCGCAACGGTTAAGCTACCTCCTCACCCTCCGGAAACCATTCACGAAAAGCAGGTGTTCGAATCCGATCCCATCGAGTCCTCGAGGACAATTATCCCGCAAGGAGTAAAGCAGGGGCGCCGTGGGTAAACGGTCAGGTCAAACTGCTTCTCTAGACCATAGGAAACCCGAAGTTAGCGATTCGACAGAGATGTAGGTGCTGGTACTCTCCCTTGGCGCCGAGGGAGAAACCAGCACCGAACTCTTTTGTCGATTACGCATACTAGGTTTCTTTTCTTGCCAGTGTGTGCAGATGGGTTCCTTTGCTGTTCTCTTCTTTCGCGATGAGGAATTGATCTCTTGACGATCATGATGCTCTTAGTAAGTGCGAGAAGGAGTGCAGTTGCTGCATCTACGGTGTTGGGAAGCGTGCGCAGAAGAATGGCATGCCGCGCTGCAGCTGGCGATATCGACGGTGAGAGGAGCTTTTGGTGTTGAGCGCGTAGAGCCAATGTTCCAGCTTCCATTACGTTGCATAGGTAGTTCGACGGATATGTGACGTAGTTCGTAGAGCCACCCGTCTGCGACATCTCTGGCGCATACTTTTTTTGCCTCTTTTGCCTCGCTTCCACGCACTTTTTGCATCAAAATGATGTTGCAGAAGGCATTGGAAATGGTCCCTCAACCCGGCAAAAATAACCAAAATTGTTTTACTTGCGTGGGTGGATGCGAAATCGCTGCGTTTTGACATGATATTGGTATCTGGACTCGTCACCGTTACGAACGTTACAGACGTTGAGCGCAGCGCAGGCACGTGCAAACGGTGGCCCTGAAATAAGCTTAAAATCGCTGCACCAGTTGTTCGAGCCGGCCTAGGCTTCGGACCCCAGGCCCTGCAGGATTGCGCGATGCACCACAGCGATTGCGTGTTCCCTCATCTGCAGTCTATCTGCAACAATGCGGATGCTAAGGATCGCTTCGAGACTCTCATCATTTCTTTCCTCGGACGACAAGATGCGCGCTCGACAAGGGGCTAGACGAGCCCAGCCGCTGATTGCGCGGTCAGTTGCTCAATTGCGGTCTGAACTACAAGTTCTAGATCTGGTGGCTCGCTTCCGCGGCTCAGGGATCTTGGTGAAGGATTAACGAGTGGCTACTCTATGACCTACTGACTACCTCGTTCTCCTTCTAGGATCTATAGATGCTGACGCCCGGCCAATGGCTACCGTACAATGACCGTCTTGGCGAACACCAAGGGCGAAAACTGCCGTGGCGAGAAAGGGGAAATGCAAAAAGCAAACGCCTCGATTCCGGCCAGGAACGAAGTACATACGAGCCACAAGTCTCTGGTCAGGCAGAAGAATTGTGTTGGCCGCTCACGCAAGAGGCTTCGTTGAAACAGCCACAGAAAAACTAGTCCGCCTGCGGCGCCCAATCAAGGCCTTCCCGTGTCCAGCCTCTGGTCCCTTGCGTTATCCCGCGGCCTCGAGCACGCAAGCAGTCTATCTACAGTAATCAGTACTAGTTTCTGCCTGCCAATGCCATCCCCGTACTTGGTGCAATTGGCTGGAATGCAAGCCGGCGAGTCGGCAAAGGGCCGTTTGCGAATACTACTAACACAAGACGACCAGCCGAAAGATTCATGGATGTCCCTCCACGCCCCCCAAAATCCACTGGACGGAGCAAAAGAGCGGATCGGTCGGCAAATTATGCAGAGCCCATTGCGGAGCATTTTCGAGCAAGGCACCAGCAAGGCTCGGCCAAGGTGCTAAAGGGCGATGCGACTCCACAAGCCTTGTCGTGATGGGCTCCAGAGGCGGGCTGGAGACCCTCAACCAAGCCCGCTAGATCGTGGAGGCGGAATAACGTCATCGTAGTGGTCAAGAACACGACCTGGAAGGCTGCTCAGCTGCCTACGAGAAGTACCCTTAGCTGGGAGATACCTAGTAGTACGGAGACTTGGGGGACCTTTCCATGACAAAATGGTAGGCAAGCAAGCAGGTTAGAGATATGGGGCCATTCTTGGTGGTTTGAGATGGCCGCCGAGATTGACGTGCTCGCGGGATCCCTGCCTCTGGTCTGCGCTAGGGGACTCTACGTGCAAAGACTGCCCTGCTTTTCGCCTTCCCACGAGGTCATCGATTGGGCCAGAAACGGTGCGAACTTGGATGTACATGCTCGCACAGGTCAGGGTGTAAGGTAAGGTAGGATCGCTGGAAGGATCGCCATTTTTATCTCGGGCCCTCGCTGCCCCGACCGTCCATCTTCTTTCTCTTCATCTCTACATCTTTGCTTCCATCATACTTCTGTATTACTTCTACCATATCTTAGAGTGTTGAGTTGATTTGCCCGGAGCATGGTTTAAGCTGTACGCATATCGAATTTGGCATCTGATTGTTTCTCCCCCGGTTTGTTTTCACTATTCAGACACCTCCGTTCCTCTGTCGAGGATCAACACGTGTGCTATCCGCCCCAGTCGCAACCATGTCTGAGAAATTCAAGACACCGCCCGAAGACCTCGAGGCAACGGCCTCCCACTCGAGTGACTTCTCGCGGCTTGCCTCCATGTTTGGCGGCCCCAATGTCTGGGTCGGTCCCCGGATAGCACCGCTGCCCGCCTACCTCAAGAGCGATCTGTCCGAGAGCGAAGAGTCCAGCGAGGCCATCCTCAACCGGCAGCTCGCCTCGGAAGATGGCACCTCGATCCAGTACCGGACCTGCTCGTGGCAAAAGACGGCCGCGCTGCTCTTCAGCGAGTACATCTGCCTGGCCATCATGAGCTTCCCCTGGTCATACAGCGTGCTGGGCCTCGTCCCCGGCCTGATCCTGACCGTTGTGGTGGCCGGCCTGGTGCTCTACACGAGCCTGGTCCTGTGGGAGTTTTGCCTGCGGCATCCCGAGGTGCGCGACGTGTGCGACATTGGCCAGATGCTCTTTTGGGGCAAGGAATGGGCGTGGTGGGGGACCGCCATCATGTTTGTCCTCAACAACACCTTCATCCAGGCGCTCCACGTCCTGGTGGGCGCCGAGTACCTCAACACCATGACGGAGAGCGACAACATTGGCGGATGCCGCACCGTCGAGTTTGGCGTTGTGGTGACCGTCATTTGCCTGATTGCATCGCTGCCTCGCACGTTCAGCATGATGTCCAAGCTGGGTACGGCCTCGGCCATCTTCACCTTCATCTCGGTGGTGCTGGCAACCATCTTTGCGGGCATCCAGGACAGGCCCGCGGGCTTCACTGAGGCGCAGGGCTCGCCGCTGGTCACGGCCATTCCCGTCAAGAGCACCACTTTTGTCAATGGAATGTCGGCTTTCCTCAACATCAGCTATACGTTTATTGGCCAGATTACTCTCCCAAGCTTCATTGCAGAGATGCGAGATCCTCGGTAAGTCTGACTGCTCTGGACCTCGCCAACCTGATCCGAAATACTAACGCGGCCGTTACTCAGGGAGTTTCCCAAGTCGCTGTGGGCTTGCACAATCGCCGAAATCATCGTCTTTTCCATCGTCGGCGGCGTCATCTACGCCTACACCGGCAACCAATACGTGACGGCCCCGGCCTTTGGATCGTTGGACAACCTGTACAAGAAGGTTTCCTTCTCCTTCATGATTCCCACGCTCATCTTCCTCGGATGCCTGTACGCCTCCGTGACGGCCCGCTTCGTCTTTTTCCGCGCCTTTCGCAACTCGGTGCACCTGCATAGCCACACCGTCGTGGGCTGGGGAAGCTGGGCCAGCATCCTGCTTGTCACCTGGGTGTTTGCCTTTATCATTTCCCAGGTCATTCCCTTTTTCTCTTCCCGTAAGTTTTCACCCTTCAAAGGCTATGAGATGATAATATCTAACATTCTCTTTCCCAGTCCTGTCCGTCATGTCATCCCTCTTCGACAGCTGGTTCGGCTTCATCTTCTGGGGCGTTGCTTATCTACGCATGCGAAACGCAGACAAGCAGGTTGGGAAGAAACGCAACGGCTTTGTGTCGGCGTTTGCAACCGCCGTGAACATTGCCATCATCATTATTGGCATCTTTTTCCTGTCTGTGGGCACGTATGCCAGCGTACAGGGCATCATTGATGCATTCGATGCCGGCTCGGTGCACGGCGTGTTTTCCTGCAAGAGCAACGGAATATGATTTCACGAAGATACGCATGTGTATATACCCAAGAGGAGATAAGAGTCAAGACCAGGGGACAAGAAGGAGTCAGTACGGAATGCCGAGACGGCGTTGAGAGGTGTATAAAAAGTACATAGCACTTGGATATCTATTTCATGGTTGACGGCCGAGGTGTGCATATGGATGGGCCGTCGGTTGGAGTACAAGAGGTGGAAGACTCGAAATACCACATCTCTCGCGATGGAGCCACTTATCGGAGAGAGAACGATGCAAAGTCCTGCAGAGATGCACGGCGATTCTTCCCTTTGATGATTGCACTGACTGACTGATCATGTAGAAATGTAGCGCACCTAATGTTTAGGACTATAGACAACTACTCCCAGTGAATGTGTAGTTTCCAGTAGAATTGCGTTGATGCGCTGCGTAATTGTCATTTATCTTTCTTTTTCATGTATCCAGATCTCCAATTACCTTACTGATAGCGCTGACAATTCAATATCTTATCCAATTGATAGACGTGACCGAACTTGATGCAATTGAGATCCCGAGATCTGTTCCCGGGTATTCATTCCTGCACTGAGATGATGCTCGGATATCCCTGGTATGATGGCACCACCTGAACGTACATGCATTGGGAATTGCTGCAGCCATCACCTCTACTTCAATCCCACGATAGCCAATCCCCATAATCAATCAATCTCTCAACCAAGTCATCATCAAAATCCTTCCAATTCAATCTCCGTCGATTCAACTTCTCGCAGTCCCTAGCAACAACAAGCTGTCACATCCAAAACAGGCCACCCCGACAGGCCCCAATTGGCAGCCCCCCTCCACCCCATCTTGTCCCCCTCCAGAACCACCACTAGAAGCTTTCCCCCCGCAAACGTGCCACTCCAGGGCCTCTAAATGCACTGTAACCCGCCCCTGGACCGCATTGTTCGCAGCCTGAAATCCCATTGATGTACAGACGCGGTCCCTGCGTCTATTCATCTATTTTTTTTATTGCCAAGCTAGGCAAAGCTACTTAGATAAGATAGTATTGAAATAGACACCGCCTTTGTTGTTTCAGCGGATTCACTTCCCATTTGCCTCCGAAACAGCCCACTTCCAACTTAGCTCAGCCAGATCGCCAAAATGGGGCCAACACAACCAACGAACGCCAGACTCTCTCGTCCTTGATCAATATCTCTCAACAAAACCCGAACCACAACATCAATTGCTACTTCTTTCCGAGCTCCTTCACTTTGCCCAAGTATTTCGATATCATAGACCAACCTCGATCGGAGACGAATCAAACAACCTACAAATCTTGCACAATCTTGCCTGCCCCTCATGGCTCGGTCAGCCGCGACGACGGCCGTCAAAGAGGCCAAACCTCCGGCTGTCCCTACTTCTGCCTCTGCGTCTGCTGCCAACGACGACAAGCAGCATGAGTTCTTCTGGACGTACACCGAGGAGCCGCACCGCACGCGGCGTCTGGCCATTATCAAGGCCCATCCCGAGGCAAGCAACGCCCGCTCTCCCATTGCTCCAATCGACCCAAAAACACACACAACTCTCCTCTCCCATCCCAATCCTCAAAACCAACCGAGAACACAATGCTAACACAGCAACGCAACAGGTCCTCAAGCTCTGCGGCCCCGAACCCCTGACCAAGTACGTCGTCGCCGGCGTCGTCGGCCTGCAGGTCTTCCTCGCCTACATGCTGCAGTCCACGCCCTTCTGGTCCTGGAAGTTCTGGGCCGTCGCGTACGTGTTCGGCGCCACGGCGAACCAGAACCTGTTCCTGGCCATCCACGAGATCTCGCACAACTTGGCTTTCAGGAGCCCGCTTGCCAACCGGCTGCTTGCCATCTTTGCCAATCTGCCCATTGGCATTCCTTATAGTGCTTCGTTCAGGGTACGTTTTTTCTTGGGCCGCGTAGCCGTTCCCTCTTTAAATTTTAGGTAGGGGAAAACGTAACTGACTCTTATGCATATACAGCCGTATCACCTCACCCACCACAAGTCCCTCGGCGTGGACGGCCTCGACACCGATCTCCCCACCGCCCTGGAAGCCTTCGTCCTCGACTCCATCTTCGGCAAGGCCTTCTTCTGCACGTTCCAGATCTTCTTCTACGCCATCCGCCCCATGGCCGTCTACCGCATCCCCCTGACCTGGGTGCACCTCCTCAACGTCGTCGTCCAGCTCGCCTTCGACGCCGCCCTCATCTACTTGGCCTCCCCCAACGCCGTCCTCTACCTGCTGCTCTCCTCCTTCCTGGCCGGCAGCCTGCACCCCCTCGCCGGCCACTTCATCGCCGAGCACTACGTCTACGAGACCGTCACCCCCACCCAGCGCGACCCGGACAACAGGGTCCCCGTCCCCGAGACCTTCTCCTACTACGGGCCCCTCAACCTCCTGACGTACAACGTCGGCCTGCACAACGAGCACCACGACTTCCCCGCCATCCCCTGGACCAGGCTGCACGCCGTGTACGACGTTGCCCGGGAGTTCTACGAGCCCCTGCCCCGCCACGAGAGCTGGGTGTACGCCATCTGGCGCTTCATCTGGGATGAGAACGTGGGCATCACTTGCCGCGTCAAGCGCAAGAACGGCGGCCGCATCGTTGGCGGCGCGGTCCAGTGGAAGCAGTCCGAGGTTGAGGCTTGAATGAAATGATCATTTTCCCTTCACAAGTGGAAGACCAAAAGTCCAGTCTGAAAAACGGCTAGGTTTTGTAAATAAGCGTCTTCTTTCTTTTCCCTGTTTCAGTCCCTTTTTTTGCGATGTTAAAAGTCCCCTTATGTCTCTCGACGTTGGTAAACAGGAGGGCCTAAAACGAAAAATGGAGAGCATTCGATGATAGAAACGGTATAGATTTGTCTGTGGCCAAAGAAATGCCTATGAGAAACGAAATGAAAAGGCTGAACGTTGCGTATCAATTTGACAGCAGTACTTTATCATTAGGGTCAGACAGTATTTCAAGATGTCGTCAATACATGAGTAAAGATATGGTTAGATTTCATGTTCTAAGGGAGCTGTCAGATTGATGTTATTTTAAGATGTTGTCAAATTGATAGGTATCTTCCCCCCTCCTCCTACCTTTACCTATACTGTACCTGATACAAGGCAGGTACTAACACGCTCTACTTGGATCCATTACCCTACTCAAGGGAACAGACAAAAGAAACATAACAGGCAGTTTGCAGCAGCCCCCTCCATTTCAAGAACAAGCAATAATGAGAAAGAAGACATTATAGTGAGGTAAAAGGAGATACAAAAGGGGGCAAAGACACGCCTATCAGGTACTAGAAACTACTGCCAGAAAAGAAAAGCCAAGCAAAGAAACAAGACAAAGTAAACGTAAAGTACAGAGGAACTGCACCGGGAGGACTTCTTCCATGCTCGGAAACAAGGGTCCACGAGTCCAACAAAGTAGCAGCTCTGCTTCCATCACCCCATTCTTTCCTTGTGTGTGAGCAGGATGAAGAACCTTGCCAGCCCTTTTGTCATCCGTCTAGGTACTGCCACACACAAGCACACACGCATACACACAAGTTCCTTCGTACAAACACCTCCTTGATAACAAAAATGCGCCCTGCCACTATAAATCGTATGCATGATGATCCTTCGCCCACAGGATGCTTTGGGCCTCATGACTGGCGTATCGTTGCCGGTTGCTGCCGAGATATGCTTCGGATCCAGGTTGCCGTGGCATAAAAGAACAAGCTCCTCTAACTCGTAACTGTGGTACTACTTACTTTTTCATCCTATCGACTGCAAGGAAGGCAGATTGCCCCTCCCTTATCAACCAGAGCTTAGAAGAAGACATAGGCGAGCAGGAAGCTGATGAGGCACAAAATGGCCACAATCTTGACAGGCACGCCTTCGACGACCTGTTTGGATTGCTGGGCAAGAGCTGCACCTGTGCTCTTCTCGCTCTCGCCGCCCTTGACGTTGCGCTGTCGAAGGCCGCTGTTCTTGTAGTTTGCCAGTTCAGCTTCCAGCTGAGCAATCTTGGCCTTGAACTCTTCAACGCCCGTTTGGACCGTGCTGGCGACGGCTGAGGCAGTCTTGGAAGCGGCCGACTTGGCGGTTTGGGGCCTGGAGTCATCGTCATCGTTGACCTCGTGGACGTAGGGGGGCGGTGCGGCGTTCGAGGAATCGGCAGCGCTGGGAGAAGAATAGGCTCGAGTCGGCTCGGGAGTCTCGTACGACTTGAGGCGGGCGTCAGTTAACTACATGCAAAGTATTTCCTAGCGTACAATCTATACGCACCCCATTCGCCGTGGTTTGCTTGCTCGGCGTCGAGATGGCGGTTGGGCCATTATCAGGGCTGCTGTCGCCTGCAGGTAGCCAGTTGACTCGGATCTTTCGTTCGGAAATGGACGCCTTGTCGGTTGTTTCGAGCTGCACGTGCGTTCGCGGTCAGTGCGTGCGTCCGAGAAAGGACGGGAGTCAGGACACGTGGAGACTCACCACTGACGCAATGCTGGCGAATTCCTTGTCTGCGGTAATGGGGGCCGATTGGACGAGGAACTTGTCCCTGCACTTGGCGTCCAAGGGGGGGTCAGACTTCATCGCCTGCAGAAGGACTATGCTGGTGTCAGCCGTCATGCGATACTTGTTGCTGCCTTGTCGCGACCCAACGCACCCGTGACATCAAAGTCCTGGCCAGGCTCGATACGGCCCGCATTTGGTCGAACGCAATACCTATTCGTGAGCAAGAAGACATGTTAGATCGTCCTGTGGGCATATTGGCCGTGGAATCGTGACGGTGAGGTCAATCGTACTGCTTGGGAGCCGTCGTTTTCACCTGGGAGGACGTTAGCAGGGATTAAGATGAGATAAGGAGGTATCCACAAGCAAGTGCCGTCGTGCGAGACAGCACAAGCCATACGTGGCATGACAGGATCGCGACAGACCTTGAAGGCCAAGGGCGATGAGCTAGGGTTCTTGATCTTGAGGATCTGCGCGACCTCGACGGTGAAGGGCCCTGTGCATTGCCAGTCCGTCAATGGATGTTTACGCTCAGAAATGCCGTCATGGGCACTGGGGCGGGCAGAAAAGACAACATACGCCGAAAGGACAGCTCGAGAGGCTCAATCTCGACCGACATGGCGATTGAAGCAGCGGAGAAGAGGCCGGAGTTGAGCTAGGGTTCGAGGCCGAAGGGCGATTCGGTTCTGGAGGCACGAGCCGGAAGACGCAAAGATGATGTCGTGTTTAGATCGATGGCGCTGCTTCCAGCGGGGAGACGCGGCGGGACCAGAAAGGAAGCTTGGGCTGCAGAAAAGGGACACGGCTAAGGAGTATCAAAAGGGCTGAGGAAAGGTTCGGCTGCTAATCGAGCACGAGAGCGGCGGACGAGGAAGCGTGGGTTGAGAGGACGGGCAGCTGTTGTTTGATTACAAAGAAGAGATCTGGAGGCGTGATGGATGGCTCCGGCCCCTGTATCGAGATTGGCTGGCGAGGCTGAGCTGGCCTGAATGAGATGCCGCATGACTAAGCCCGCTCAGGGTCTTTGGCGTCATTTGGGTCCCGTGCAGGGGGGAGAAGCGATGAGACAGACGGCTGTTGGGCACGCTACGAACAAATGACTTGACTTGCATAGGACGAGACTTTGATTTAAACAAGAGGCCCTGTGGACATCTGGTGATGGCGCACGTGTTTAGGGGGAAGAAAGCTGGGGGAGTGCTGAAGAAGCTGGGTGTTGATATATATGGCAGGTCATCTGCTCCAGTCTGTATTCGTCCCTTGCGTCTTGTGATGACTTCCACAAGCGGAGAAGTTTGTAGCTTCAGTAACAGAGAACTGGATAACTTGCACTGCTTGCTCTCGTCTTTTGTCAGCGTTGTTACTGTGAGCAAGTGATGAAATGCTGGAGCGTTGTCCTTGTCCAAGCCATGAATTTACTGCATGTTGCCTCTCACAGAGACTAGGTACCTATTCTGTAAGCATATTGTAGCGTTGACGCCATCTTACGTAGCTGTTGGTACCTAAGACGAGGAGCTTCAGTAACTTGAACTTGAACTTCAGTGCTCGAAGAAAAGCCCCGTGAATCGTCTTCATTACTTAAGCTGATAACTTGGTGCTAGTTTCTGAATTTCCTCACCACTCCATCATATCGCTTTCTGTCTTCTCTCTTGCACCTCCGTCATCTATTAGATACTACATACCTAAGTATACCTCTACAGCAGCTCCACTGCCAGACTCGTGCTACCCATTCGGAAGCCTGAACTCTACCCCACACTCCCTCATCACCTCACGCCTCCAGCTTCTACTTGTACTTTCATCACTTCACACCCCTTCCATTCCCTCCAAATCTCCCACTCATACAACAAACGAATCAGACCAAAGATGGCTTCCGACCTCGACACTCTCATTGACATGGGCTTTGAGCGGGCTCGTGCTGAGCTCGCCGTCAAAAAGTCCGGAGGATGTGAGTCGCCTCTTTCTCCCTCTGACGCTTCCCAGCATCTCCAGTCATTCATCTCACACGTGTCATTACAACCCGAAAGTGCAGGGAGCACTGCAGTGGCTCGAAGACAACCAGGACAAGTCATTGGAGGAGATCCAGGCTGCACAGGCGGCAAAGGACGACGAAGAGACCGAGGACGAGACCAAGGCCAAGATCGCCGCGCTGGAGTCGGGCGACTCTGCCAAGTCTCTCATTTGCAACGAGTGCGGGAAGCGGTTTAGGAACCACGATCTCGCCAGCTACCATGCCACCAAGACGTAGGACTTCTTTGCCCGCTTCAAGAATAGGAGCCACGGCTGATGTGGAAATAGTGAGCACACAGACTTCTCCGAGTCAACGGAGGAAATTGCGCCCTTGACCGAAGAGGAGAAGAAGGCGAAGCTTGCCGAGCTTAGGGAACGGCTCAAAGCGAAGAAGGCTTCTCAGGCGGAGCAGGACAAGGAGGATGCAAAGCGCAACGAGGTGACTTTTACTCCTCTTCCACCATCTACCAACCCTATCTGACTAATACGTGGCTTCAGAAAATAAGACAAAAGTCTACAAAGGAGTCTCAGGAAGCAAAGGAGGAACTCGCACGCAAAGAGCAGATCAAGGAAGCCATGCAGAAGAAACGAGAGAAGCTTGAAGAAGCCGAGGCCAAGAAGCGCATCAAGGCCAAGATTGAAGAAGACAGGGCCGAGCGCCGCCGCAAAGCCGAAGAGGCCAAGGCCGCTCGCGAAGGCAGAGCTCCCGAGGCCGCTGCTTCATCTACTACTCCCGCTGCTGCTCCCGCTGCCGCTGCCGCGCCCTCACGGCCCAAGGCAGATCACACAGAGGCGAAGCTGAAGCTGCAGACCGATGCTGGAAACGTCATGAAGACGCTGCCGGCGGAGACGACGCTGTTTGAGCTTGCGCAGCAGTTGGAAGGAGAGATTGGCAAGCCGGTGACGACGTTTACGATGACGTTCCCTAGGAAGACGTTCCAGGGGGACGTGGACATGTCCAAGACGCTGAAGGAGGCTGGACTTGTGCCTTCGGCTGTGCTCATTGTAAAATAGACTCGTTTGGCTTGCTTTGTTGTAAAGAAGACATGGGAAAGAATCTGAGCGATGTTGGGCGCGATTCACTTTTCAGAATCTCGAGTCGATTGTCGATATCGAACGCTTTTGTCAGTAGATGAACATAGCGCCCACCATTACGAGCACACAGTCTGAAGTGCTTTCTGCTCATTCCCGTACCTTCACAGAATAGCGAGGCATGTGTAGAGAATCCCAAACTGTCAAAAAATTTCTTTTTTATTCTTCCCGAGTCATTTATTTGACCATTTGTCCCTTCCCCGCGTGAACTCCGTCGTGTGAGAGCATTCATCATATTATCCTTATGAACGAAGCTACTCTGCCCAGGACGCAGGATATAGGCGCCCACTCCATCCTGTATGCATCCATCGATGTGTATAAAGACCCCGAAGTGCCATGCAGTTGAAGTACAAAGAAGCAAGAGAAAAAACAGTCGCCGCAACAGATCGTGCTGGCTGTTTAGTCGAAGAGGCCGAAGCCCATATCCTCGTCGGACTCCTCCTTCTCTGCAGAGATGCGTTAGCACAATCATCACTCTCGTCTTCGGTTCGCGGAGCGGTCGGTACGCACCCTCCTCCTTCTTCTCCTCCTCAGCGGGCGCGTCGGCGGCGGCAGCGGCACCACCAGCAGCGGCAGCGCCGGGGGCAGCAGCAGCGCCGCCGGAGCCGACGTTGACCAGGAGGTCCTTGATGTCCTTGCCCTCCAGAGCCTATTTGTCGGCGGAAACCATCACTCGTTAGCGACCAAAATCCTCTCGATTGCGTTTGGAAAATTTCGACTTCGTTAAGCCGGTTCTGCCAGGGGGGGCTGGCGTTCGGTGGATAATCGTACCTTGGCGAAGATTGAGGTCCAGATGGGCTCAACCTCGACCTTGGCGGCGGCGATCAGGGTCTGGAGCTTGTCGGCCTAGAAATTTGAATATCGCATATTAGCACACAGCAACTCCCTCGCTTGTTTCTGTCGCTCTTCGTCTTGTGCGCGCGGGGCACAATATGATGTCTCTTCCCCTTCACCCATTCTGCGCCACCAAACCCGGAACAAAGACGACGAGACGAATTCTGGAAGCAAAAAGGGCACTCACGGTGATCTCAATGCCATCGTCGGCAAGGATCAGGGCCGCGTAGGAAGAGGCGAGCTCGGCGGTAGACATTGTGTGTGGTTTGTCTGTGCGGATATGGGAAGATGTCAAGTCTGCACGGGAGAAGAGCTGTGATTTGGACAATTCAATTATCAACCACAAAAGGCAGTTCGCGGGACCACAAAAAATTACCCTGGTCGAAATTTCGCGGGCTGGAGGGCTTGAAGACCTAAAGCGCAGGGCGAAATGGTTTCTCCGCGTGCCGGCTTTCTCGAAAGGGTGGTTCGCCGCAAGCGGGCCTTGCACTCGCTGATTGGTTAGTCCGGCCGCCCCCAGCGAGCCAATCAGCGGCCGTGTCTCAGCTGCAGCCAAAGTTCCGCCCGGATGCGCAACGTCGTCACTCTCCCAGAAGCATCCAAACACAGTCGAGACGCCACCCCACCTTGAGCTGAGGCTTCCCCACCATCTTCTGCATTGAAGCAAGACCGGCAGTATCGCGACTTGTCCTGCTCCTGATTGTTGGTTGCTTGCGCCTCACGACAAGTCTTGGGTTGTTCCTTGTCATACATACGTGCGTCTACCAGCACTTGATCGCCTGAACTTGCGCTGCCAATCCCCCTGAGCGATCATCTGGACGATCGATTCAGAGCCTCCCAATTGGCCGACAAACCCCGAAACCAGCTGCAGCCTGCATCGTCACCTCCGGAACGTCTGGAAGCTAGAGAGTCTACAACTCCTTGCGCCGTCCCCGAAGAATCGGCCAGATTTGCCTCACCATCCTTCCGTTCTTGACCTATATCAGCTCTCACCGACTCGCTTTACACCATGGATACACCGGCTGTCCCTTTGCCGCAGGATGCCCGGGAACAGGCCGTCCTCGACAGCCTCGTCGTCATTCGCGACAAGCTGCTGCTGTTGAAGCAGGACCGCACAACATACATTCGCAGCCAGGATGTCATACCCTTATACGACGAGACCATCAGCAGGGTCAAAGAGCTGGACGAGATCCGTACCGAGACGGGGAATAAGGAGGAGAACAGACGTGTGTTGAGCCCATCCCAAACCACGAGAGACGGTCGATTACTAAAACGCGTGATGCGATAGTTGACAAAGTCTTGGAAAGCTGCTTCCAGCTTCTATCCCTTTTCTACCTCACAATCGGACGCAACAATGAGATACCCGCAAACTATGCCCTGACTTCCACAATCAAGCGGCTGCTCGACCACTTGACCGAAGCCGACCTCTACTCAGCCAAGGATCTCGAGAGCATCCAGACCACGTTGACGAACCTATCCGAGAGCATAAAGCTGGCCGGATCCAGCGAACACAAAGCCGAGAACTCTCCGTATCTTCTCAAGCTCCTGTCGAATAGAGTAGCCAAGTGCTTGGCAACGCTGGAGAATCTCCAGAAGCGGCTGGGTCGCATCGGAGAGCCTTTGCTTCCGACACACGAGAAGCTCATTTCCATCCTGCGATCCATTTCGCTGGCGAACACAAAAGCAAAAGTGCGAATGATTCTACCTTTATAGCAATGCGCAAGTTGGATCGCTAACTCTGGACTGGCGTAGTTCTCGTCTGCCGAGGTGCAAAAGCTTCAAAAGCAGCTTCTCGATATCGGAGAGAAGCGCAAAGATGGCCAATTCGTCGACGAGAATGGCAATGTGCCTCCAGGATCTGTAGAGCTCGGGGAGCTGTACCAGCGTGTCCTCAAGTGGTCAGAGATGGTATTGGAGAGGTGAGCGAATGAAAGGCGCTTCCAGAGCATGCCCATCTCACTAACACCGGTGCAGAAAAGGAAGCATGCCAGAGCAATTCCGTCCGACATACGAGACGCTTGTTGGTATTCGCAACGAGCTGGAGAAGCTGTCCTTGACACAAGCCTGGGCTCTTCGCGAGACCGATCTGTACGACTTTCAGCGTCAGCTCGACAAGATTGACGAAAGCCGGCAGAACGGAAACTTTTACGACGACAGGGGTCGGCCTGCCGACTTGTATACACAACGGACCATGTTGTATCTGATCAGGCGAAGCTACGCGTACATTTATTCCTTCATTCTGGCCTCAGAGCCGGTCTCTGAGGCTCTGTTGCCCGTCTATAACCAGCTGCAGACCCTCAAGAGGTGTCTCCTCGAAGTGAGGAACAGTGGCGGCGTATCCTCTGTTCGAGAACTGTATCCTTACAGCATGAAGGTATAAATCACCAACGTTCCGGGCTTGAAACCAGCGAATACTTGAACTAACGCTCTATCCACAGCTAAACTCGCTCGATAATCTACGGGTGGACGGTAAATTTGTTGTAAATGGCGACATCCCTGAAGGTCAGGGCAGCGTCAGTGAGCTGCTTGCCGAATGCTTCGACCTCACGTATGACTTGAGGGTTGCGGCAGAGGAGGGCACAGCAAGCAATTCCGACGGCCAATAAGTCATATCTCAAACCGAGGAAACGATGGCCTCGACGAGTCTAATTTCGACTCTTATTTTTCACTTGGTCTGATTTAATCATGGGCTTGTTTTTGCGCTATCGTGTTATCTTTGGGACTGGCAGCTGCCTCTGATGGGCTTGAAAGACACAGGTGCCGTCCAGCGATGGTGTCCTATCAGCTATGCTGATGGGATTATGGCTAATCGGGGAATGTTGCATACATCATTGCTAATCTGGGTGGAGTTTCTCTTTGTTCTACTAGTACCCTCTCTATCTATCTTCATGGGCTGGATTAGGTTTGACTTTTCTTGTCCGCTATAGTATCACTTATGTTTTCTCTTGGCGGCTTGTCCCTTGGGGAAGAAAAGCTGAGCACTGGATGGCATAGATTTGGGCCTGATTTGGTAGTGGATGGCAGTGTCAGTCTATAGCTTGATTGAGCTTTCTGAAATGCAGATTTTGAATAGTCTTCCATCTTTCGATGTCTCAAACAATGCATGCATGCTTTGATGTTTTCGGCGACTCGAAGTAATGAATGTCTGAGATCTCGACCTCGGGTTGTCTCACGTATATCGGCCCGGGGTCGTTAATGCTAGCAGGGTATGGCAACGTAGCTTAAACAGTGGGACGTTAAGAGTCGTCAAATTGAAGTTGTCACCAGCCCATATGACAAAATTTGACGATGCTAGGAAATAAACCGTTAAATTGAGCTCTGACATACACATCTATAGAGTATACATCACATTTGCTGCGATTCCTCTGTGTACGCCAAGGGGGGCTGTTTTGATTGACCTTTTGAGGTCACCTGAGGAGTTCCGGGTAGGTACTCAAAAAGGTCATTGAGAACTCTAAACGAATGATCTCGACAGCAACCAAAGGACACCAACAAAGCCATCCATTGATCGACCCGAAATCTCTTGCCCATTCATGCGTTATGGCTATGGCGGAGGTGAAGCAGCTCAACGCCAAAGGGGGGGAGTTTTGGCTTGTGCTAATGGCGTCACACAGCGCGGATGTCAAGCCCCGAGCAGACGAAGCCGCTAAAGGCGCAATTGGCAAGGACGGGGCGAAGGCGATGACCTCAAGGAAACGCCATGCAATGGGCGCGGATCAGAAAGTAAAGCAAGGGCACTTTAGGTATGGAACAAAGGAGAAGCTCCAAGCGGTGTGCAAAGCCCTGACGAGCAGCCTTGTTGCTATTGACGGTCAAGGCTAACGGATCGTCGATGATTTGCGCCTTTGCTCCGGATTATGCCCTACGTCATACTGCTTTGAAAAAGTCCGGGGAAATCATGGCCGCTTTGCTCGATATCGGCTCTGGACAAGGGAAACCGAGAAGAAGCATCACCATCACCGCAACTTGAAGCAACCAAAGAGAAGAACATATCACAGAGATCTACCGCGGACAAGGGCAAAGAACATTGAAGAAAAGGCGGCAGAAACGTGCCGACAGACAGAACAGACAGAGCGCAGCATCAAAGCATCCATGGCGTACCGCGTCCCCCACGACCGCGACCGGCGGGTGTACATCATCCTGCACCAGGACGGCGCCACGGTGACCGTGCTGGGCGTCTACGAGGAGCTGCAGGACGCCAACCGCGACTGCCTGTGGCAGGCGGCGCGGGCGGGCATCGACCTGCTGCAGGACTCGCCGACGACGGGGCCCGACAAGTACCACATCATGCCGATTGAGCCCGCGCGGTGGGACACGCCCGACGGGGTGTCGTGCTGGGTCGAGAGCCATGCGGTCGTGCCGAGCAGGGTGGCAGCTTCGAATCTCGCGTCTCGCTGAGGTTGTTGGGGGTGAGAGGGATGACTTGATGGGCTATTGATGGTGGTGGACTTGGGAGTTGTCGCGGTGACAATCGATGCGACGACGGAGCACGGAGTTTCATGAGGGAACTGTCATTCTCGGTTGCGGATTTGATAACAGCCTGTGATTTCAAACGGCGATGGACAGAAGGACAAGATTCAAGCGGCATTGGAGCTGCTGTCTGGTGATGGCTGATGATGACGAGAAGAGACATGGAATCAGCTGCTGGACAGACTCTCGGATTCCATGCCCAGCCGTGGCTGTGTTTGTACATAGGGTACGAAAACATGCAGCATCCGGGAAGAAAAGCCCCATCGAGCATCTCGAGGGGCAATCAGGGGCAAACCGAGATTTCTGGAGCATTCGGAGTTGTCACATCACATAATATACGAATGGATAACACCTCCTTGCATCAGCATCTTGGCAGGCACATCAAACAGCTGCAGACGGAATACCAGGCATGCCTAACGGGATGCATGCACTTGTGTAATAACTACTACAAGACCGAGGCGGTTAAAGAGACCCCGAGGCATCCATGTTAAGCATCGTCCGGCTATTTCTCCGTAGGCGCAGCTCGTGTTCACCACGTTTTGCCGTTGCGTCTCGGCGGGAGCGCTGAAAGAATTGGCGGGGTAGCACCACCCAGCAGTTCGCAGGGGTCCCGCACAGAAGGACCACTGGTCCGCTTAGGGGCGCCTTCGGGGGCCGTCCAGGCGGTATAGCGGTAGAGCCGCCGCGGTTTAGCGCCGCAAGCCCCCGGAGCCACCCCCCTGCCAGTTGCCTGACCAACTCATTGGCCGGCCCTCCAATTGTTTCCAAAGCTGTCTGCGCCTTCGCCTTACCTGACAAGAAGCCGCGCATCCTCTCCCCCAATACCCCCAAGCTTACTTCCCCACGTCCGACGAGCAGATACAGACTGCAACAACCGCGAGACGACGAGCCTCTGCGTCTCTGTAGCATTGGCCGTGAGCAGCCGACTCAGCTTCAGCGTGCATCTCTAGGCGCTGGCCTTGCATGGTCCGCATTCCGACCCGAGACTGTCAGTGGCTTCTTCTTCCATCATGGCCGAGGTGGACGCCGTGCCCACCTTTGGCGCAGAGCTAAAGGTGCGTCTCTTGAGTTTGCGTGAGATGGTTGTCTGTGGTGGAGAATGAGAAACGGGGGAAGATGAAGGGGGAACAAGAGAGAGAAACACAAGGGACTCGATCAGGAGAGGGAGAAACGGAGGGAGCACAAGCGGAAGCAGAGGCAGAGGGCATCTTGGTTCCTGGCGCGATGCTGACAGACACCCCTAGGATGGCTTCAAGGCGGCAAACGCCTGGGTCGGCCATGGCATCGCCTGGCTCGACGAGCTGCAGCAGTTTTACCGCGACCGCGCCGCCATCGAAAAGGAATACAGCGCAAAGCTCGATGCGCTGGCCAAGAAGTACTTTGAGAAGAAGAATAAGAAGGTCTCTCAGCTGAGCGTTGGCGACACCCCGACCCTGACGCCTGGATCCCTCGAGAGGTGAGACCGACACCCCGGCCGAAGATACTCAGGGATCTGCGGATACGCGCGGATTTTTGAGCATCAGCGGAGAGCGAATGCTCAAGACGCCATGATACTGACACTTAACAGCGCTTCTTTGACCACCTGGTCTACCCAGCTGACGACACTCGAGTCCCGCGCCTCCGAACACGACCGCTATGCAACCAACCTCATATCCCAAGTCGCCGAGCCTCTCAAATTCTACAACACTCGCTTCGAAGAGCTGCGCAAGCGCCATGCCGACTACGCCGAAAAGCTGGAAGCCAGCCGCGATGCCTCCTACGCCGATTTGCGCAAGGTCAAGACAAAGTACGACGCCACATGCCAGGATCTCGAGAGTAAGCGCAAGAAGACCGAGTCGCACCATGACAAGTCCAAAGCACAGAGCGCCTACCAGCAGCAGCTGTTCGACATGAACAACGCCAAGAACACCTACCTCATCGCCATCAACGTCACCAACAAGCAAAAGGAAAAGTACTATCACGAGTACGTCCCCGAGGTCATGGACAGCCTGCAGGATCTGAGCGAGTTCCGGACACTGAAGCTCAACTTTCTGTGGGACGTGGCGACTCGGCTGGAGGGCGCGATGCTTCAACAGAGCAACAGCTTGATCGAGCATCAGGGCAAGGAGATCCAGAGGAACCTGCCGCACCTGGATTCCATGATGTACATGCGCCACAACATGGGCGCCTTCCAGGAGCCGCCGGACAAGGTCTTCGAACCCAGCCCCGTCTGGCACGATGACGACCTGATGGTTGTGGACGAGATGGCCAAGATTTACCTGCGCAACGTACTAACCAAGTCAAAGGCCCAGCTGGGGGAACTGCGGAGAGAGGTGGACAAGAAGCGCAGAGAGGTGGAATCGTTGAAGGGGGTCAAGAAGCGGGTTCGGGAGGGCAAGGAAAAGAAGGACGAGGTCGAGGTCATCCGCACGCTCTTCGCCATGCAGGAGGATCTCATCGCCACGGACCAAAAGCGACTCACGGCCGAAGTCGAAACCACCACCATCACAAGCGCAGTGGGCGATGTGACACTAGGGGCCAAAAATCACAACTTCAAGAGCCAGACGTTCAAGATACCCACCAACTGCGACCTGTGCGGAGATCGCATATGGGGTTTGAGCGCCAAGGGGTTCGACTGCCGAGACTGCGGCTACACGTGCCACAGCAAATGCGAGATGAAGGTGCCCGCGGACTGTCCCGGCGAGCAGAACAAGGAGGAGCGAAAGAAGCTCAAGGCCGAGCGCCAGGCCGCCACCAACAGGCTCCTTGCGGCCGATCCAGCAGCAGCATCGCACGTTTCCGACGAGAGTCTGACCCGCTCCAACACCATCAATTCGGTGAGCTCGCATTCGCGGCAGTCTGTCGTATCCGCGCCACAGACGCCATCGGAGGACGCACCCTCTGAGACAGGCCCCAAGGCGATCACAGCTGCGGTCAAGACTCCTACGACGGCAGCTCCCGTGAAGAGGAACAGGGTCATTGCGCCCCCTCCCACAGCGTACATCTCGCAGGCACCAGCGGGTAGTATGAATGGCATCCTGGAAAAGGAGGAAAAGAAGGGCAAGATGTTGTATCAGTTCGACGCCGGCGGCGAGGGGGAGCTGTCAGTAGCGGAAGGCAAAGAAGTAGTGGTGCTGGAACCAGATGGTAAGTTGAAGGCCCCCTCTCCCCATTTCCGGGATGTCTGAATTCTCATGCATTACTTGTAGACGGTTCCGGCTGGGTCAAGGTCCGTGATGGATACAAGGAAGGTCTTGTGCCGGCAACATATATCGACCTCAACTTTACCCCGTCAGCTTCCACCGCATCATCCGCCCGCCCATCCTCCACCTATTCCACGTCCACAACATCATCGGTAGCCCTCAGCGCCGCTTCGCGGAAGAAGGGCCCGGCGGTGGCGCCCAAGCGGGGGGCCAAGAAGCTGCGGTACGTGGAGGCGCTGTACGACTACACGGCCCAGAGCGACGCGGAGCATTCGATGACGGAGGGCGAGCGCTTCGTGCTGATCAAGGAGGACACCGGGGATGGGTGGGCCGAGGTGGAAAAGGCTGGCGTGACGGCGAGTGTCCCTGCTAACTATATCCAAGCTGTGCAGTAAAGGGAGGCGCAGCGGCTGGTAGAGGAGTTGGGGGCGTGATATCAAGTACCCCTTTCCTCCTAACTGTGTATAAGGGAAAGAGATGTATGTGGGGGAACAAGAGGAAGAGAAGGGTTTTTTTCCGAGAAAGATCAAGTTTGTCTATCATAGAGAGGGGAAAGAGGCCGAACCAGCATTCAGGGAGAGCAGCAAGTTTCTTAGGCGAGGGGAGGGGGCGGCACCTAAAAGCATCCCAGGAAGAGAGCAGGAGTTTGGAAATATGGAACAAAGGGCGGAGATGGAGGCGAGCCTTTTTGTGATTAGTAGCTGAAGAAATGTGTACATAAAGAAACGTTTTACGATGGAAGGAATGGACCTCTTTGATGATTCGACGTCTTCTTTCCTCTACTGTCATATTCGCTTCGGTATGCAATTCATTACATTGGGAAGAGTACAAAAGAAAGTAAAGAAAGAACACAAATGTTGAGAATGTGAAGAGATTTATATTGTAGGCCGTTACTAGATAGAAGAGGCTCTCTCGTGTTGTTGTTGTTGTTGTTGTTGTACATAATGTCCATATTTCCCATATCACGTAGAGGCGAGTTTCGTCGTCTAGAGTACAATAAAGGGGGAGGGGGAAGGGTAACGCATGGCTCGGGCTGAAGAATGTGAAAGAGACGAAAAAGTAATATTATACACGGGATAGAAAAAAAGAGAAACCACCCCCCTGTAACCGTCTTTCATATGCAGTTGAGTGTAAAGATAGAAGAACCTAGGATATCATGTAATTCATATTCTCCCGTGCCCCAACCGCCCCTGATATACCTTGTGAAACGCCGTCGGGAAACCCAGGATGGGGATCCCATAGAAAGAGCAGAAGACCACCTCCCGTAAAAGATGCCTCAAGTGCAAGAAAGAAAGAAGAATAACAGAAAGGGATAAACCGTGGGCTCCTGATATGTTCACCATCTTCATGGTAGTTGAGCTTTTGGTAGATGCAAGGCGTAAATAGGAGGTAATATGGCGGGATAGAAGCGCTCATAAAAGGGTGAAAATAGGAAAGATAGATCTATGAAGTGTATGTTTCGGTCTTTATGAAAGAGATGGGATGTGTAGATGAAAAACAAGTGAAAAGTCTCTGTGGGGAACTGCAGAGCCGAGGTGCTGTGCGGCCGCCAATTCTCGTCAACGCTCAACGCTCAGACGGAATGCCGCTTTCCGGAGTCTCGTCCAATGCGTCGCCGCCGGGGAAGCTCAGCTCCTCGGCCAGAGGCTCCTAAATCATCTGTGCCGTTGGTGCCCCGAGCGCATGAGGATTGAGGCTGTGACGCAGCGCGTCCTGTAGCTCTGCAATCTGCGCCATCATGGCCAG